TCATGACCTCCTTGAAAGAAAAAGCACGTTCGATACATTCAGCCAGATAAATCTTTATCGAGCACATGATATGAACATTGTAGCCAGAGCAGCTTTTTTCCACGAGTGCTCTTCTTATATATATATATATATATATAAAATATTTTTTTTTACCTGAAACAGAAAACCTGTCGAGTACCTATTGTTCTAGAGAGAGATCCGGGGGTTTTAGCGCAGATGTCCTATACCCAGTAAGAACTTTCCCATTGAAGGGCTTCCAGTAAAGTAAAATGTTATCGAGTCGTGATTTTCAGAGACGGAGAAATGAGCATATCTCGAGTTTTGTGTGAGATATATTTTATATATATATATATATAGCTTTGTATATATATAACAGCTTCTCTGTATATTTGAAATGAAGATGAGACTGTGTAGGCCCTTAAAGAGGGCTTTAGATTATTATCAAAAAGAAACGCTCTCCTTTATCTTGTGATAAGAAATTACTCGACTCTTAGGACGAGATAAAGAGGAAAAACTTTCTCTGATGTTTCTCTTTTTTTCCTCTCATTCTCTCTCACACTGACGTTTCTTAATCATCCTTTTACTCCAGACAGACAATCTTTTCCGATTATCACTACCTGAAGAATTATTTCTTTTATATACTTTTTGCTCCAAATCCTTCTCTCTATTTTAAGTCAGAATTCTTTTTTTTCAATTTTTAACCAATTTTTTTTTAACTTTTTTTTTTTTAAACGAATTAACTAAGTGTTATTAATTATTATTAGTCTAATAGGACTGAAAAATGAATATTCTAATTTTTAATTCTAAAAAATTTTCTACTTAAATAGACATACTGAAAATTAATTCTTAAGTATTTTTACACGGAGAAAAATGAGTGTAATAGGATAGCTAATTTTTAGCTACAGTAGCTAATATTTAGCTGTTACAGCAAACTATTTTAGCTATAGTAGCTAATTTTTAGCTGTATTAGCTAACGAAAATTGCTGTCCATATAATAGCAAATAGGGTTAGCTAAAATAGCTAAATTTTTGCTAATATGGCTAACTTTTTTTCTCCGTGTAAGAATAAAAAATTATTAACTATTGACCAATAAAAATAATTTATTAATTCTTTCCGTGCAAAAATTTTGCCAGGGTTCAGATCGGGGGCGGATCAGGCTGCCCTATTAGAGAATGAAACACTGCGCCTGATGTGGTTCTAATTAGGAAATTCATACATTTTCTGGTCGTCTTGATTTGGCCTTGATCAAGTGTGGCGTTTCATTCTTTACTAGGGCCCTAATAGGGCAACTTCTACAAGGGTTGTTTGCCAATAACAAAATTTTTAATTTTTAATATAAAACGCAAAAGATTTCATTCTTAAAGTCAAAAATATTCTTAAAGTCAAAAATATTCTTAAAGTTATAAATATTCTCGAAATGAAAATATTCTCGAAATAAAAATATTTCCTACTTTAATATGAATATTTCTTTCAAGAATATCGTGAAAAAGTAGAATATTCTTTTTTCAGTGTATATATATAGAGAAAAACGAAAATACTTTAAAAATAAAAAAATAATTTTTCCACTACACCTGGAGCAGTTTCCTTTTTTCTGTTATACAATTTAGAAGCTATATATATATATATATTTTTTTTATTATCGTTTTACTTGAAAATGAACTTTCGTTCGAATAGATACATATATATAGTTGTTTTAAATCTGATGTGATTGAAATGTCATATACATATAAATGGAGGAATTATATACATTGAAAGTCCCATCGAAAGCGAATACCTTTATATCGAACACTATATGACAACTATATGACAAAAGGACACTGTTGGCAGAACCTTGCGAATTGATCTAGTGGTATAGGGAAACAATAGGCAATCCAACATACACCTATATATATATAGAAAGGGAAGTACATGTTGAAATTGTAGATATAAACGAAACAATAAGATCTGTGACGCGGGCTGACGATCGGACCTTTAATTATTGAGTAGGTAATTAATCAATTGATTAATCATTCGTGTAATTGATATTGGATGATGAATGCTTCTATGAAATCTATAACTATTATTATGAATATTTAATATTATTCACATTTTTTTATCTCCATTATCTCAAATAAATTATTCATTTTTTTTTAATGGAGCACAATGAATTAAAATTTTTATGATAAATTTTTAATTTATAGTTCTAACTTCAGATGGGATTAAAAATGTCAATTAATTATCAAAAATGTTTTTTTTTTCGAAAAAAAAGGGGTGAAAAAAATATTGAAATATGAATATTGCAAAGACTGTGTGGCAGTTTCCTTTGTACACCACAATTTTTCTTTGATCCAAATAGCACATTTTTGTCTCAGACGTTGTTGTATAGTACACGTTTGGGAATACAAATTCACAAGTTCAAAGAAAGAGAGAGAAAGACGAGACTTGAAATCTGTTGGGTGTAATTTAACATATACACCGCGTATATACAGAAAGGTTTCTTGGCTATGTGGGGAAATAATTCATGCGAACTTGGTTGAGTACGTTCTTGAAGTTGTTCTACACACATTATAATTTTATGTTCCCTTTTGTGTTTTGATGAGGTATCAATGTTTTTATGAGAAAGCAAAACGTATTTTCAGACAAATATCAAAATTTAAAAAAAAATGAAATTATTTTTTTTTAAAAATTATCTCTCATTTTTTAATTAAATAATTATACAATAAAGGTGGAAATTTGAAAACACGCAGCTTGAAAAATCCTGATAAATTGCATGTTACATATTTACATTGCAAAAAGAAAACGAAAAAAGAAAAAAAATAGAAAAACTTTTTTAAGTCGCGCTCACGTTCAATGCAAACTAAAAGTATTTGTTGATTTCATTTGAGAGTCTTACAAATATTTATTCTGACTACTGAGAAAATCTGACTGTCTGACCACAGTGTTTTTGAACTACTCACATCCTTCGGTTCAATTTCCAGTGGTAAAGGAACTTTCTGGTCAGACATTTCAGCATGCCGCGGATTCTCTTTGCTTCAAATTTCCAGTAGTTGGAAGGCTATTCGGTCAGACAATTCAAATCCAATTTCAATAATATACTTTTATTTTGCAATTGTAATTTTGTAATTGTAATAAATTATATTAACAAATAATAATATTAATAACATTAATAAAAATGTAAAACTAAAATATAAAAAAAAATGGGGGTGGACACTAATAAAAACAATTCCCAACTATTTCCCAATTTTCCAGACATAGTTTTCCTTGTTAGCATTAGCAAAATGGTAAAATCAAAAAACTAAATTAATTAAATAAAATTAAGAAATGTAATTAATGCTTTCAAAAGAAAATTTCCTTGGCTTCAAAATGATGCTAATCATTTTTGTAAACAAAATTGTTTTTTTATTGCGGTAGAAAAAATAATTTTAAAAAAATTATATCTCTAACCTTAGTCTGCAGCCGATGAATATTATAAATTTCAAGTGATAAGATTTAAAAATTTTCGATCACTCCCGCAACATTAAATATAATTTAGACAGAAAATACTTTTTTATAAAGATTTCAGCGATCGCGGTTTTAAAAATTTCGAACAATCCCGGAAATGAAGGAAAAAAATTTCACTGTAATACTTTTAAAATCGCAAATTAAAAAAAAATTCGAGCACTCCCGAAATTATTCGCGCACTTCAAAATTTGCAAAAAATAAAAATTCTAAGAAATATGTTTAAAATAGTAAAATTTTTAATTTAAAAATTAAAATATCGAAAGCCCCATTGACAACGTCTGAACAGGTCAATGCACGAATTGCAACTAATTAAAGGATCTTTGGAATGTTATAATTTTATGGCTTAAGATAACCTTTATAGTTGAATGTAAACATACCGCTCGGGTCGCAGGTATGTAGGTAATAAAATTCCAAGATCGTCACATTATTTAAATACTTCAGAATTATAATTATTCAATTTAAATATTATTTCATTAAATTTTTTGTACAAAATACTAATTTTTAAATATTTCAAAATTATAACTCTTTTGAAGCTCAAGAAATTCTTTTTTTAAAACTATTAATTACATTTTATATTTAAAATACTGTTAATAAAATAAATTTTATTTTAAAAATACTCAAATTTTGTTTGTAAAATTTAATTTTTAAATATCATTTCCGATTTTGATCAATATTTGCAGCTTTTTCCAGGCTACACGGAGAAAATTGAAATTTTTGTGCTTTACTAAACCTGGAACTTTCATTTCGTCGCTACAATAAATCTGTATTGTTGCACTAATATATTTGTTACTACAACAAAATTATACTACTAAAACAAAAGTTGTTAACAACAAAATTTTATTGTCTCATACAACAAATTTGTATTGTACCAACTAAAAATTTGTTTTACTAACAAATATATTGTTACTACTACAATACAGATTTGTTATACCCATCAAAATTTGTTAGATACAAAATTTATTCTGTAATAATTTTTTCGATAGCCACCTCTTTTGTGGATATTTTGAGTAAATTCAAAAAGAAAGTAAGAAACTTGATTGCAACAGAGAAAAATGTATCGAAAATAACTTGACCTGAATAAAATACAAGTAAATATATATATTTGCAAAAGGGGAGTGGAAATTGAACTTTTGAAAATGCGCATAAATACGCAGTAGATCTGTAGGCAGCATTAAGCATGAAATGAAGTCATTAAAAAGCGAGATTACAGCGATTTGTCAGAAATACAGAGTATTCCATCTCGACATGAGTGTCCATTCAGAAGCACGAGTTCCCCATTATTTTTCCGAATGCCGGACACTCAAACTGGGTTTAAATTTCAAATCCGCGCTCGTCGATCGACGAAGAAGCTTACACCTATATATATATAAAATATCGATTAAAACTCAACTCTTGCCCCCCCCCCTAGAGTCTCCTCTCATCCCTCGCATATATATCGGCCATTCGAAAATGAACGCGCGAAACGAAACGAAGAATCATTCGACTATATCGTTAAAAGGAAATTGCTTTCTATTCGACAGGTGGGATGGTTGCGCCTTGGGGATCAGACGATACTGTCAATGGGCGAGAAAACGGTAATTCAATCGCCACGTTTCTCTGTTACCCTCGAGAATGTCAAGACAACGAATCAAACGCCTTCAAAAGGAGAAGAGGAAACTACATGGCGTTTGAATATTCACACATTGAAGGAAGCTGATCGTGGCTGTTATATGTGTCAACTCAACACCAACCCTATGTTGAACCAACTGGGGTGCGTGGACGTTCTAGGTATGCTTAATTGCATGGTGCACATTCCTACAACATAGTGCACGCTTGACAGATAGCTCGGTGTGCCATCGTTGTGCATAGGTTTCGATTAGCTACGATGAAAACGTGTAGCACTGGCACAGAATTACATGTTACTACCTAACCGCTTCTCTCTATCTCATTCACACACACTACGTATATATATATATATACATACGCACTCACTGATTCATATACATATAGATGTTACGCTGGCATTTAACCAGAATGCGTAAATCACACAATATACACTAAATAATTATCGATATACATACATATATATATAATAATTGCATTGCAACAATGAATGCCTAACAATCCTATTTTCCGAAACAAAAGACATTGTTGTCACACTGTAAAACAATCTTACATTATATTAGTTCTAAGATTAATTATGAAAACAATTTTTGAATTAGATTAGATTAGCCAGAATTTAATGTGAAAGCCTTATCAGAATTTTGTATATCATAAAATTGAAGACATTTTTTGAGGAGCAAAAATTGACAAAACTAATCAAAATCGGGTAAGGGCACTCGCATTGAAACGTAGGGTTCCGAACACCTGTTAAATTTATTTCTACAAACGTAAATTTAAAAGAAACACAGAAAATTATAAGGTATTAAAATAAGCTGCAACGCTTATTATTTTAATCCAATTTTGCTTATTTTAAAACCAAAATAGATTCAAATAAGCAAAATTGGATTAAAATAATAAGCGTTGCAGCTTATTTTAATGCCTTTTAATTTTCTGTAAATATAAGCATTAAATGTCCAGCCATTGGTAAAACTACTAAAGGAAAGAACTAACTAAGAAATAAATGGAAAAAATTACCAATAATTTCTACAACCATTGGTAACCACTAAAACTACAAGCATAAGAAAGCACTACTAAAGAAAAAAAATTACCAATGATGATCACACTGAAAAAAAATTATTTGATTCAAATAATCGGTTACTTTCCAATCACGCCACAGGACGACAAAAATTTTGTCCTACTTCAAAACCAAGAACCAAAAATTAAAAGACATTAAAATAAGCTGCAACGCTTATTATTTTAATCCATTTTGATATTAAAATAAGCAAAATTGGATTAAAATAATAAGCATTGCAGCTTATTTTAATACCTTATAATTTTCTGTGTACTTTACCGAAGCATTTTAAACTGCTGAATCCGAATCTGACCTCATATAATTGACAGATTCGGATTTAGTGCTTCAAAATAATTCGAAAAAGTAAAGTCCAGTTCTTCTATCTGAAATAGAACAAAATATCGTCCGGCCTTAATAATAATTTATTTCTTCCTAATAATTAATATTTGAGTCAATTAAATTGTATTTGTTTCAAAAACCGAAATTATTGCTTCAAATACAAATTTAATAAAATCCAAATAAAAATTATTTCGTTAAATATTTATTTGAACAGGATTCATTGCATCGAATAAATTTTTTTCCATGTATCCAATACAAAGCACTACTAATGAAATAATTTACCAAACAATATCTAATAAAAAAAACGATTTCACAACCATGAAACCCCATTTCATTGCGAGTGCCGCGCACTTGTCCGATTTTTTAATTAAATGTTACATTTATATTTTTTGTTTTTTTTTTATTTATGTACATTTTGATCATGTTTATTAAATTTACTTAAGCAAACAAAAATCCACATTTATAGTAAGCGTTCTGTTTCATTTTTATGAAAAAAACTGCAATTTTCGAAACTACAAACGATGTAAGACTGTTTTTACAGCGTGGTATTTACAATTCCTTGAAATGTATATAAAAAATTCAACCAGTGCTCTTCAAGCGTCAATATCCACACAAAGTAGGTATAACAAACAGTCTCTTTAAGACCGCGAGTTTACGATTAATTAATAGTTGAGTGAATTACAAACAGTTGCGTGAAATTAACTGCTATAAAATTCAAGTAATTAAAGAAAATAAAAAAAAAACGATAGAAAGAATAATTTTCATTTTAATTTCTTGTTTTCAGATAAATAATTAATAAAATTACACTAGGGAAAAATATTCTCAACCTTTCATGCCAAAGGCATAAAAATTATTGATTCTATGTAGAATTTTTTATTTTTATGCCTTTGGCATAGAAATGTTGAGTATATTTTTCTCAATAAATTAATAAATAAAACTTAATTTTTAATAAAAGTAGACATTTCATTGAAAAATGTCAAGAGAAAAGGATGTATGAAATTTGGCATTGTTAGAGAAGATTTTTAAAAATAAATACTATAAACATATCTCTCTCTCTCCACCTTGTGTAATCTCTACTGGACGACATGTTTTTCTTTGTGTGTATATAACAAGGTATATAGGTGTATACATACACACATCTTGAATTGCATTTCAAAGACGCTTTCCCACAATACTGTCCACACAACTCGCTACAATTTTAACTTTAACTCTAGATTTAGCTCCAGATTCTCAAAGGAAACAGGAATCGTTTCAAGCAAAAGACGCTTAAACTATCTCTAACTAGACGTATATATATATATAGTTGAGCTCTCAACAACAGCAAGCAAAAAAAGGACTTAAAAGCAACTACGCAACTTTCATATAATTATAATTAAATCTGTCTTTTCCTAAAGCGAGAGAGAGAGAGAGAGAGAGAGAGAGAGACATTGTTCAGCATTAAATAGTTGAAAGCATATTTTAAATTGTTTTCCCCTCTTGTCATTAAAAAAAAAATCTGATGTTTCACATTAAACAAATATTTTTATATAAAAACAAAAATATGTAAAAATAATTCCAATTTCTAATTTTAAAAAAATTTCAAATGCAAACGAAAAAAAAAAAAAAAACTTTTCATCAACACTTTTCATTTGAAAATTATTAATGAATTTAATTGTTAATATACCGGCGCGCATGTTTTCAAGGATAAAATAAAGTTTTTAACTCGACTTAATTTATACACCTTTCTCTTTTTAATTAAATTCTTCTCGGTAATCTCAGACTGTTAATTATTATGTACTTCCTTCATAATTGTACTAAACTTAATTTGTCCCATTTCCATATTTAACTCTCAGAATCCCGCACAGTTCAACTTCCCAACTTTTCTCCAACCTTAACATTTATTCCTTGAGCAATGAAAATACTTTCTAATAACAATTTTGCATTTCTGAAATTTTTTTACCCTCCCCCCCCCAAAAAAAAAGAGAGAAAAAAAAAGATAGAGAAAACTCTTGAATTTCACAGAGAAAATGTAATGTAAGTGCATCTATATATCATTCTCTTCATATTTTTATGTGTATGGAAGAAAATAATATATAATATTTATAAGTGCGAGGGTAAAATTTCGTGTAAAATAATTCAAAAAAGAAGTAAAATTTACGTTAAATTCAAACACTTTACTTTGTAATATACCTGTGTGCAACTGTAATTTCTGTCCACCTTTCGAAACTTGCTCTTTAACTCAAAGTTTGTAAAAGGATTGAACCTCAGAGTTCAGACAGAAGAGCATTGAAACTATTTAGATGCCTCAAATTAGAAGTGTATATCTTCAAAGTTGAAGCTATTAGAGAAGGTTAGGTACAAACTTGTGATTTACAAATGATCAACTTCCAATTCGGGAAAATTGCACATTTTATTAGAAATTCCAACGATCAAATTAAATGATATATAATTTAATGTTTGTCTTTCATTTACTATAATTGAAAAATTTAATAAACTTGAAACAAGTTGTTATTAATTAATTTAAACAATTCAATTAATTAACTACTTATTCGAGATTTATTAATTAATCAATTATTTTAATTTTTTAAATTTTAATTATTTTTAAATTTTTATTTACTTTTACAGGATTGACACAAAAATATTTTGTTTTTCCCTGATTTCAAGTTAGAATTTAAATTTTTTTCCCTGATCCTACACTGAAAAAAAAATTTATCTGATTCAAATAATTGGTTACTTGATTGTTATCAACTAATATTTATTTGAAATCAAATGATTTTTATTTGAATTAAATGAACTATATTTGAAGCTATAATTTCTGTATTTGGAACTATAATTTCTGAACAATAATTTCGGTATTTGGAACAATAATTTCTTTATTTGGAACATTAATTTCTGTATTTGAAATAAATAAAATTTTATTGACTCAAATAATAATTATTTAATACAAATAAATATTTACTTGCACTCAGAAAAAAGATATATTTGAACCAAATGTACCATTTTTTTATATTTACCCAATTTTTTGGTTAGTTCAAACAAAATTTGTTTAATTCAAATAAATATTTATTTGATCTAAATAACTGTTTGGTTTATTTTAATAAATTTTTTGAACAAAGAAAAAATTTGATTGAGCTAAATAAACGTTTGGTTTATGCAACCAAATGTTTGGTTAACTGTATATCAATGCATTTATTTTGTTGATTTAACCAAAATTTGGTTGCTTCAAATGAATTTTTTTCTGAGTGTGATAATAGTCAATAGTAAATTTGAATCAAGTAAATTGTTTTCGGTCTAATGAAAATAATTCAAGAGGTTTTTAATTATAAAAAATTGAAACTAATTTTTAGAAGCAAAAGTTTGAATTGAAAATTTCAAAAATTATAATTTTTAGTAGCATTTTTATAAATTGAATAGTTTCTAAAATTCCCTGACTTTTTCCTAACTTTCCTTATCCGTGGCAACCCTGTTTTAGGAAATATTTTTTGCCAATTACGAACCAGTTTTTTTATACAGAAAAAAAATAATATTTACCATCACATTACACTCCATTTTCATCAGTTGTTTGTAGAAAAAGTTGACTTACATCTGAAACAAAAAAAAAATGTATTTTATTATTAGTAATTTATATAAAAATTTTTTAAATTTTGAATAATAAATTTTCTTTTAATTTTGAATAATAAATTTAAAAAATTTTTGATAATAAATTTTTTTTAATTTTGAACTAATACTATAAGTCTATAAATAATTAAAATAAATTTTCAATTTAAAAAAAATTGTCTCCTTCAATTTTAACATTGAAAAAAAAAAGAAATCATCTAACTTATTTGAAAATAGAAAATTTAAAATAGAAAATCCCGTTAAAAATATTTATCCATTCCGTTACGCACAAAAATCCATATAACGATAACAAGATTATTTTCCATATTTTCAAGACTTGGAATTGAAGATTAGAATTTTCAATATATTTTTGTAAAGAAATTTTTCACCATTAAATTTTCCATATAATTAAAAACGACAGAGATGATATTTGCTATTTTAAGATCTTATGTCGAAACTAATTTACTATAAGAATGCACTAAGCTTTACGGCTTTTCAATTTGAAAAAAAGAATTAAAGCCGTGAAACTTCCACTTTGAGAGGAAAAAAAAGAAAGAGAGAGAGAGAGAGCTGATTAAAAAAAATAAAAAAGAAAAGTAGTAGTAGTAGTAGTAGTAGTGAAAAATTAGTTTTACGCTTCTGTTGTTGTGAAGAGAGAAGAGACAGTATTGAGAAAATTACATTGTGTTTCCTTGGGTAAAAAAAAAGGGGGGGGAGGGAGAAAATTTGCCCTCGCACTTCCACCGTTTTCGCGTGCCTTCCTTCCTCGTTTCACTAACACAAGGTCGCTTATTTGCAGTCCCTCCTGATATACTGCCTAACGGAACCTCAGCGGGAGAGGTTTCCGTCGCGGAAGGAGAAAATGCTACTCTCTCGTGTAAGGCATCCGGTAGACCAGAGCCACGAATTGTTTGGAAGCATGAAAAAAATACGTTAATACTGATGAAAGGACCTCACGACAAACTAATAAATGGTAAGTAAAATCTTAAATATTTTCTATTTTCATTCATGATGATAATAGAAAAATTTTAATAAAAAGAAAATTGGAAATAATGCAGAAAATTACAAACATATATATATATGGTCAGAGAAAATATTTCAAGCCCTTTTCAAATATCTTTCTGCCTTCGAGAGAGAGACCCCAATAACGAAAACACCGACCTTAACAAATTTTCTCATATATAAAAGCTGAGTCGAGAAAAAAATATAAATTTCCCTTTTTCGTATAACTTTCCAACAAAGGATTTCGATTTCTATAAGAAATTGATATTTTTTAATTAATTCTTTTATTAGTAAATTTCATTATCAAAAAAAAAAAAAAAAAATCGTTTCAAATAATTTATTACTTTTTTATATAATAGAAAAATAGTATTGAATCAAGAAAACCTATTGTCTTTATTTGATTCTTATGATTTTTTTTAATCAAAAAAAGATTTACCTTTCAAAATTTTTACTTGTTTCAGTAAAATCTTTCGCTATTTTAGTGAAACCTTTCGCTGTTTCAGGTAAATATTTTTTTCCGCGATATTTTCTTCAGAGTTCAGTTTTTATATTTTTTTTTCCCTGATTTATTAAAAAAAAACATTTTTAGGCTCCAGAGGTCGCGAAAAACATCGAAATATATCAGAAAACCACAATCGTAAATTTTCACTTCTATATATGGAGGAAGCAATATTCAATTAAAATAGATTTCCGTGCTCGTATATATGTATATAAAGTCAAAGGAACATGTTGAATATGTCATAGTCGAGATTAACTTGTCGATATTATATTTCTACATCCGACAAGGTCCTGACCGAGACCAAGATTGGCTCTCAGTGTATATATATATATTACTATATATACTATAAAACAATGGTCCCGACGATGGCCAGTTCTGAATTTCAGGTTCTATATTCTGCCTATATATACCACATATGTGTAAAGAGTATATGTGTGGGCATTGAATGTTAAGTATGTGCGCATTGTTCTTCCCCAGCAACCACAAATTCTCTCCTTGTAAATGCTATAGAAATCCGTGCACAAAGAACGTTGAAAATGTAGTACTTATTAGCAATACGCATAATGGAAAACAAGTGAACCCTAATGCAATTCGTGCATGCATAAAGAGTGACCTATATTTTTTCTTCGAGATTTTCAATTTTTTTGTTTTCTTTTATATTCGTTATTTCTTCAAATATTTATATATATTTTTTTATTACTTTGCTCGCAGGACAAAAAAAATTTTTTAAATTAAAATATAGTTTTTTTTTTTTACTAAAATTCGAAAAATTTTTCCTTTCCAAATAAATTTTAATATTGATTAACAAATATTTAATTAAATTCTTTTATTTCACTCACTTCATCCATAGATATTATTATATAAACGTCTTTTTTTAATTTCTCTACAAAAAAAAAAAAAATATTCTTCTCTCTATTTTCTTAAATAAAGATTCTTTAATGCAAATAGGAAAATAACCTGAATATTTCATATTCTCTTGTACGTCAACAGTTTAATTAGCTTTTTATATATTTTTCTCCCATATTTAATTTTTTAAAGAAAAAAAATCTAACTAGATCCAAACAGAGAAAATGATATTAATATTTTTTAATACAAAATTCATTTAATAATTAAAACTACATTTGTTAATTAAAAAAAAAAATTTCTTATACATTTTTTACGTATAATTTTTTTTTTAAAGAAATATATAGAAAAAAAATGCTTCAGAACAAAAAAAAAACTTTATATTGTCATCGGAAAGCAATAATAATTTTAATTGTGTTTCAACCGTAAAAATAAATTGATGAGATAGAATTGGATTTTACTTACACACTCATGCAGAAAATGATTACAATCATATATCTCGAAAAGAACTTGTTCTAAAATGAAATAAAAAAGACTTTCTCGTTCAATTTAAAAAAAAAAAATAAAAAATTTTTGTTTCTAAATATTTTTTTTATAAAAAATTTGTTTGCAATCTTTTCGTTGTTTTTTATCAAAATAGTTTTTTTAATATATACAAAATATTTAAGGCAAAATCAGTTGACATTTTTCATACCTTATACGTACTATATAAATATTTTTTAGAAGTGTGCGTTTCATTCTTAAAGTAAAGATCAAGGAGAGAATTTTTCTGCGGGGGAAGAAAAAATAAAATGTGAGAAACGAGATTTCCAATTATTTGAAGAAGTTCCATTTCAAAATGTGATCCTTAGTCTTTCAAACGAAATAGACGATTCAAAGTGCTTGCAAAAAAATGAGTTTGCGGTGTTCATTTCACGCTTGAAGGAAGAAGGAACGAGTTCAATCGATCCCTCAGAAAATGAGAAGAAGATATATGGGTCTTTCCAATGTGGGTTTTTGGTCTGTGATCTTTCGAATTTTCTATCATAAAAGGTAATATACTTTTACTTTGAAAGTTCATAATTGAGACTTCTCTCACTCTCTTTAACCGGATATACATTTTAAAAGATAATCACATTATCACCGCATTTCGAGAGAGAGAAAATCATTCCAATTAATAGTTCCTCATAATTTTTTTTAGCAACTATTTTCAAATATTTATTTTTTAATTAAATATTAAAATTAATATTAAAATATTTAAATTAATATTAAAATTTGTAATTTAATATTAATTAAACCATTTTTAATAATACCATTATTAAAATTTAATTGTTGTTGATTGACAAAAGGATATATCTTGTTTGTTTAGTTGTTTGTCGATTATAATTTCAAGTTGAATTAGGTTGCATAATCTAAAATAGGAGTCTAATAGGGGTTATTCAAATATGCATTACGCTCGAAGGGTAGCGAGAATCAGATTCGATGTTACCAACCATTATAATAGGGTTACAGAGAAATGCACCATAATAGGGAGAATCAGATCCAAAGATCTAAATCGAATGAGCATCGTATTACCTACTTTATTAATTAAGAGAATGTAGTATTAATTTCTAATTACTTTATATATATATATAAACTGAAAATGAAATTCAATTACAATTAAAATCCACTTCCTATTTAATTATTTATTTTTTCCGTCTCTATATCAAATTTTCAATTTTTTTTGCCATATGCTAATTATTCTTAATTTACGAATAATACCCGCGGTAAATAATAAAAAGATTAATCAATAATTTGATAAAACAGGAGGATAATATTATATTATGTATTACGGAATTAAAATTCTATTTATAGAAAACTAATATTGACAAAATAATTATAGAGGTTATTAACCTTATTTTTAATCGATAATTTTTTTAAAAAATAATTTACCAAAAACTAAAATTCGATGAATAATTTGAAAATAGTGTTTGATAAAGTATACAAATATATAATATATCTTTTTCCTAAGTAATTTCCTAATTACCATCCATTATCCCTCAACAAATTTGATCTCGTTTTATTATATTTTTTTTTCTTAGTTGAATTTAATCGTAAGCTGAAAGGAATTTCCGTTAAGGGAACGTGCCATAAACCACGATGGAAAATGTGGTGCGAGAGGGGAAGATCAACCTATTTTTTTTTTTTTTTTGCTTTTAGTCGCTTCTCTCTTTTCTCGTTTTTTTTTACAGAGCGCACCCTTTATGTTAATTCGCGTAATCAGTAGTATTGGAGGTGAAGATTCTACAGCTCGTGTAAAAAAGTTTCACCGCACCTTGCGTGGCATGGGTTAAGTGCATTATAGCTTGTGATTACGAGCCACTATGCCCTGTAATCAAAGTCATTAAAATTGTGGAAAATTCAAAATGTGCATTCCCATTTACCAAAATAATTTTCTCTTTCCATATATGTATGTATATATATTATCATGAGAATAAATTTCAGAGAAAAAAAATATTTGACATTACAGTGAGCAGCGCGTCAGGCGAGAGATTGGAATTAAACAGGGTGGACAGGAGGCAAATGGGAGCTTATCTTTGTATAGCAAGCAACGATGTCCCCCCAGCAGTCAGCAAGAGGGTTCATCTCAGAGTAAACTGTGAGTATTTGCACGCCAAAGAGATTATATTTTGACAAAATGAGTTGACAAGTGTGCGGTCCATATATGAGGGGGGGGGGGGTGAAAAAGGGAGATATGAAGCCTGTGACAAGACTTCCTAATTGTCTGCCACGAATTTTGACATGTTTATCAATCATTCACAATATTCCCGTGATGATTCATTAAAATCAAAAATTTTTATTTGGTCAGTTTACATGAAAAGAAAAACAAAAATTCTTTCTCGTTATTAATTCCTTCAGATATAACAAACTGATTAAAAATCTCAATTTTATATTTTTTATAAATATCGAAATAATTCGCTAAACCGAATATCGTTTTTTTTGAAAATAAAATAGAAAAATATTTTCTATTTTTTAATATTTAAAACAATTTTCATTATAATTAAATAATAATAGTTAAAGTTTTAAATAGTTTTTTAATAGTTTAAAATTAAAGTTAAAGCAATTACAGTCGATAAAAAAAAAATCACTAATAGATTTTTCCATTTATCTATATATATATAAAAGAATTCATGACGGAAATTTTCAAAGAGTGCGCACACAATTTTTCCTTTATCTATTTTCGCCACTTTTCGAATTCAAAACCTTTCATATAGAAAGAAAGGAAAGATTTGAAAACAGAAGTAGATAATCGACCCGAAAAAAGACAGCAGAAACGCGGTATTGTTAGAAACAGATACAGAATGGAATAGAAATAGTAAAAAAGAGGCAAACAATTGGACAGGAATAGATAGCATTGTTTGAAGGAAGAATAGAATAGTTTATAGATTGCTAAAAAAAAAAAAACACAAAGAAAGTCCCTCTCCCTCTTTTTCTTTTAAAACAAAATATTAGTGTAGCAATTAGTTTCCACTTATTTTTAATATATCAACATTCCTTTCATAAATAATAATAATAATAAGAATAATATTAATAATAATAATAATAATAATAATAATAATAAAATAATAATAATATTGGAAGAATGCGATTATTGACTTGAAGGAATTTTTTTTTTTTTTTAAATAAAACGCCAATTTAGAATTTTCTTAATAAAAGAAAAAAAGCAAAACAAAAGAGAAGAACAAATATACTAATATATAGGCAGAGTTCCAAGAGCAATGGTGTGTACATATTTAAATGTAGGTCAGTGAATTTGAAATTCTAGACAAGCAAGGCTCGAATTCAACCTTTTATTCATTTTCCATTGGAATATCTATCAATATGATAAACATGTCACAATAAAATGATAGTCTTCAAAAAGCTTTTTTTTCCCAACATTTTCAACAATTCAATTGATATTGAATTAGCATGTCAAAAAGAAAAAAAATATATAATAATTGATTTTCCAATATGTTATAGGGAAAATTAAACAAAAAATAATAATAAAAATAATTTTTGTTTTTTAGAAAAAAATTTTGTTGGAAATAAATTTTCCTCGGGAGTTTAAAAAAAAATATTTGAAGAGAAATTTTTAATTTAGTAAAATATGTTGGTTAGAAGCTAAAAAAAAAATATGAGTTTTTATTAAGTTTATATATATATATATATATATATGGGGAAAAAAACATTTTATAACTTTCCATTAAAATTTTATGCTGAATTCCATCCAGCATCCGGGGTAGAGAGAGAGAGAGGGGGGAGGAAAAAAAAATTCTTTATATTAAAGTTCCATGCAACGGATTATAAAGATTCTGAAACAATTCCAACCATTCGCAAACTTTATTTCCGTTGTTCGCGTCAAATCTCTATATAGCGGATATAATATCTGCGATCGGTTGGTGCTATTCCGGAATCCGGATAATCTGTTTCATGGGACTCCAGTTTAAGAGAAAACGTCATATATTGCGCCCAGGAAAAGTTATTGTTTACAGTCATAATTTAATATAAAAGAACAAAAATTATTTTATATAAGTCATTTTTTTTTTTTTTAGAGAATAATTCAAGCGGCAATTCTCTTTTTCCAATTTTTTTCAGATAAATTACAAAATTTCATAAATTTTAAATTACAAATAAAAATTATATTTTTATTTTTTTTACGTGTTAATAGTTTTCCTTATAATGTATAGTGTAATTTCCCAAACCGCGAGCGGAAGAATCTACTTAATTGTTGCAACAAATTTTGAAATTCACAAACATTAACAATTCATTTCTTCATCATGTTTAATTGAACAAAGCTATATATGGAATGCGCAATGTTGAAATTCGAAATTTCACAACTAACGAGCTAAATGAATAATGTAATAACTTTACAACAACAGTTGGTGCAAAAGTTTGTAACTAACTTCTATACAATTTAAAGTTTCACATATATATATGTACAAAATAATATATATAAGCAAATAAATTGATATCAAATATATAGAAATATATTTCAGTGGCATTAATTGGAAATTATTTTTTACGAAAAATATATTTAAAATCGGTAATAATTTTGTAATATAAAAAATGAGAAATATATTTATTTGAAATGTAAGGTGCAAAGGGAGAGAGAGTAAAAGAAGAAGATTTCTTAAAGGAGACAAATCACGCTATTGATTGTTTGAAAAGGGTAAAGTGAAGGTCTTGTTATTTGAACGTGCTAAACGTTTCGACCAGAGAGTTCCGAAATCAATACTGATTGATGTCTATTTCATTAACGTCAGCTTGAATGCGGGTACTGGAGAGTAATTCCAAGAGAGATTCCCTTATTGAACGCTATTATCCGAAAACTTGCGAGTACGTAACACACATCTATACAAAATTACTCCAAATATTGTTCATTCTTGATATCTTGATATTTACTTGAAAATCAAATTACATTGTGCCAATAAAACCCCTTAATTCAATAACCAACTTTTTTTAAACCTAAATTATTTAATCAATTAAATTTTTAATTAAATTAATTTATAATGTAATTTATAATTATAATTTATTATTTATAAAATAATTTATATTTACTATTTATAAAATAAGTTATAATTTATATTTATAATTTAAATTAAATTAAATAAAAACAGTGACACACGTTTTCAAATCATTTTTTTTTTTTATGAAAAAACTTATTGGAATGAAACAAACTTTTTTTTTCTGATTAAAGATTCTTTTCCTATTATATGAACTAAATTATACATATACGCGACCTTATCATATCTTCTTTTTTTGCTCATGCTTATTTCATTACATAAATTTAAATTTAAATAGAGAGTAAAATCTAAAACTTCATCTTTCTCTCTCTCTCTCTGAGACGTTATTATGCATTCAAACAATTTTAGTTCAAAAACTTACACAATATTTCTAATTATACCGACTGAATAAATATTAAAGTTTTAAAATGCATTAGCAATTTTTCGTTTTTTTTTTTTTCTTTAAATATAGTTATATAGTGGAGTGTTAAAAAACAACTAACGCACCTGATTTTATGAATAAAACATGAATACGTTGATATGCATAGAAAAATTCCCCGACTATTTCGATTTAATGTATCGAAGGTAGATTTTTCAATTTTAAAAAGTCAAGTTATTTAAAAACAAGTATATACTACAAACTTCATTTATATATATTTTTTTTACAAGCAAACAGGAGAATTTTTTTTTAATTCGAGTACATATAATATATTTTTTTTTAAAAATGTACGTTTTATTTGTAAAGCACGATGCAAATTCGCAATTTATTAAACAAGAATTTTAAAAGTATATTTAAAAAAAAACCCTTTTGTTCAATGTAATAATTCAATTTAGTGTGTATTTAATCAATATGTCAGTACATATAAACCAACAGAAATTAATTAAGTAAAATATTTTATAATTTCGAAAATATTTCAAAAATATTTCAAAAATATTTCAAAAATGTGAAGTAAATATTTTTCAAATTAATAAATGTTTTTTCAGTAGTTATGAAAAAATATATTCTCCAAAAATAAGAAAAAAAAATGATACGTCACGAAAAAAATGTGAATAAAAAAAAAACAAGATGAAAAAGGCATTTTTCGTTCTTTATAAAACAGAAGGAATGAGTTGTTAATTGAAAACAAAAAAAAATAATATGAAAAGCATTATTATAATCTCCCTTGTTATTCAAAAGCAGAGGAGAGAAATTTTTTGTAGACACCTTTCACAAGTATTTTACTTGTATCTGTTAATACTCCTGATGTTAATTTCTTGTTTTTCTCTATTTTTTTTTTTCTTAAAAAAGTCGGAACTTGCCGCAGCTAATGAGAACGCAACAGAATCGTTATTGCACACATTACGCCGTTGAATTTTTAAAAATAATTCCCTGCTAAATGTAGTCTTTATCCGAGATAATATCGCTTTTACACTGTAAAAAAAATGTTCTAAATTAGTATCACTTTCTCGTACTAAAATAGTACCTACTGAAATTAATCCCAAGCGGTATCAATACAGTACTGCATGAGGTATTAAATTTAAAGCAGTGAAATTTTTGTTTTGTAAACTATGAAATAAATTATTTAATAATATTAAAGTAGTTTTAATTAAAAAAATTTTTTAAATAGAATTTCAAAACTTAAGAAACAATAATGATTAATTAATTATTTATATGAATTAATTATTTTCATTATTTTCGAAATGGAAAAATTTTATGCTTTTTATATATTTGGGGATAAATAAAGTGGGTATTATTTAAAGTAATGAAATGTACATATCATTTTAAATTCAAAAAGTAGAATAGAAAAGAAAGTTTCTTACTTGCTGTATGCCACGAGGCTGCATCTGGATCACATGTCCGTTGCGCTGATTATGCCCGGGAAGACCTCAGAATTGGGAATGTCTGCTGCTTCCAAGATTTCTTCGTTGATGAGGGCAATGTTTAGAATATTAATTCCAGCATTTACGTCCCTGTTCCAAACGACATGACAGTTTTGGCAAAATGCATACCGCTTGGGGGACCTGGAAACAATATTTTTCTGGTTGCATGAGCTACACATTTTTGTTGTGTATCCTTCATAGGCGCTTACAACCTTCAGTCTTTCTTCTCCAACTTGTTTCGATCGTTCTCTCAACCGCTTCTCTATTTTCATTATTGGGGTTTTGACGTGTCCTTTCATACACGGATTAATTTTTGTTGATCCTATGGCCACAAAGCACGGTTCTTTCTTTACATTGTCTCCCATAATGAAATTGACAACTCTGTCCATTTCCCGTTGTACCATTATCAGCTTGTTGAATTTTAAATTTCGAAAACATCTTTCTGTCAATTTATCTTGTTTAATTTCGAATTGTTTTAAATAGAATTTAGCAAGTAATAGGTACTTTGTCGGATCATTTTTATCGACTTTGTTGTATTTTTCGTTCTTCTTCATAAAGTTGTTGTACCTCTCGTCAATGTCTTTCGAGTATTTGTGCAGCAGGCTTTTTCGACGCAATTCGCCATTACGAAATCGAAAAGTTTTTGTATTTGCGTAAATTAGAGTGTGTTGCTTCTTGTCTACTTTTTTGGTCCTTTCATCTTTTTTTATATGGGGATCATCTTCACGCATTCCTCCGCCAAACATTGCCTTCAGACCTGGATCGAGGCCCACGAACCGTTGATATTTAATTTTCTTCTTCTTCTTCGTTTTCTTTTGATTTCCACTTGATGGTAATGTCTCCTCTTCCTGCTTTTCCTTCTTCAAATCAAATATCAGAGACACTTTAACGCCATCTGTCTGCATACATCGAGGTACACTACATGCTCGTTTATTCTTGTGTTTGTCCTTAACTTTCTTCAGATCAAAAAGTGCTTCCCACAATGTTTTTAGATTGTCGTATTTCTTTTTCAACTTGGCCACGTTTTTTTCTTTCTCTCTTTCTGTAGGATCCACTTTTATCAACTTTTCTCTTATTTTATCTACCTGTTCCTTTTCAGTACTTTCAGTCGTTAAATTTTTCAAGTAATTCAAGACATCCCTTTCAAGAACAGTTTCGGTATACGTGGCATGATGCAAGCCGAAACGCTTCATGGGAAAAAGGACAAATCCTTTGGCCCCGCTGTCAACCAACTCTCTCTGCATTCTCATGAATAGGGGTAGAAATTTGTAACACAAATGTGGAATGTCTAAATCTTGAAAATTCAAAAGTCCAACCTCTTCTTTTTCTATCTTTTCTAATTTTTTCTCTTTTTTTCCTTTATCGTTTTGCTCCTGGTTCACTTTTTTCTTTTTCTTCTCCTCCTTCTCTTTCTCCCTCTTCAAACGAATTTCTTTTAACTCTTCCGTTTTTCTCTGTATGTCTTCCAAATAACCGTACAGTGTATCGTCATAACACATATCATATATAAGCAAGTTGATCAGTGCTTTTTCCACATTTTTATTTTTCTCCTTCATCTCCTTACTGGTCCAACATTCTTTCTTGCCACTTTTTTTGAAGGTAAAAATTTGTTCTTTATTTTCATTTTTCTGTTTCCTCTTTTCTATTTTTTCCTCCTTCTTTCTTATTCGTTCTCGTTGATTCCTTTCCCTTTCCTTCTCACTCTTATTCTCATCCCTTTTGAGTTGCTTTGTTATTTTTTTTATTTCTTGATTTTTACAAGGTTTCTTTGTGTAAGCTGCCTTTGCTTTTTCTCGAGCACTTTGTTGCTTATTTTTACGTGCTTGTTTCAATTCCTCTGATGTTGGTATTATTCCTTCCCTCCTTTGGTTTTCTTCTTTCCTTTGATTACCCTTCTTCTTGAAATTCTCCAGTCTTTTTTCATTTTTTTTTGTTTTCTTTTCCACTAGCTTCTTATCCTTTTCCGGTACTTTCTTCTTGTCACTTTCTTCTTGTTGAGGAATTCCAAATTCTTTGAATTTCAAATATTTTAGAAGCATTTTAGGTCCCTGCTGGTGCAAATGAACCCGCAAGTCCTTATCCATTTCTCGGCTTGCTTGGAGAAGAAGATCCGTTTCGAATTTACAATTGACGATTGTCAACATTTCAATTCGAAACTTATTGTATTCTTCGAGTCTTTCTTGATTTTTCTGCCACCATTTCTTTTTTCCATGTAGCTCCTCAAACTTTTTGAACAAAAGTTGATCAATTTCATTTTCTTCGTCGGCCATTTCTTTCTTAAATTCTTCAAATAATTGATACAACTCAGGATCTTTCTTTTTACAATTGTTGTAAACATTTTCCGTTCTTTCTTTAAAGCAATTCATTATTCTGTAATGCTCAAAACCAGTAATGGCATACTCCTCGGCAAGTCTGCAATCTGGTTTATTCATAAGATAGTTGACAAATATCGCTGTGAGGATTTTCATTCTGCTTGAATTTCTTACATCATGTTCGATTTTATTTTTCATGACATTATTGTCATCTTTTTGTAAAATTGAATTGAGGGACATGTATATTGCATAACTCTTTTGCACTTTCCTTTTCTGGATCCTGGCTTTCAACTTTCCTTTTTTTTTGTTGCTTTCTTTCATCCTCTCCTTTGAAGACTTTCCTTCTTCTTCACAAGTTTCAGACGATTCGTCAACGATCATTGGTTCATCGTCATCAGATGCATTTCCTCCACGATTTTTGGCTTTCGAGGTTGTTGGTTTCGATGGTTGTTGCTTGCGTTTTCCTTCAACTTCTGCAACAAGTAAATTGATGGTTATTTGTTTGCAATTCATTCCAAATTGGATTTTTTCTGTAAGGAAAGAATTGTCAATTATATACTCACTTTTTTCGACTTGCTTGATTTTGTCTTCCTTGAGTTTTGTGACTCTGTCTTTTGCGCCTGCTGCAGTCGGAGATGAATGTCGACTGATTTTTTTGGCTTTCTTAATCACGGGTGGTGTGCCTTTATCTGTGGATGCCACTTTTCTTTTCTTTAAACTGCTGTCGGTTGCTGGTTGTTGTTGGTCGATTTCCATTGCTTCGTGTTCTGCATCTACCAACATTTCTTCGCATGAACGTAAATCCAAATCTAATATTTTAAATTTGCCTGTGAATGAGGAGCATGAGCTGTCTTCATTAACTGGTGCAAAGTTGGTTGACAATCTTCTTCTTCTGCCACTAGTAACAGATGCAGTCGAGTTTGTATCATCATCATCATCATCATCCGGATCGTACATTCCTTGTCTACTTGTAGATGGTTGTGTCCCATCAAAAATGATTTTATGCTTTTGCCTCTTCGTTTCTGCAAAAAAAAAAGCAATCCAATATATACTTGTTGCATAAATTTCTACAAAACTTGCATTTCACACTAATAAAAGTAGTGTAAATTAAAATTGCAATTAATCTAATAATCCGTCAATTTTGATGAAATTTCCAAATTACACTCACTTTGAATCTTTTGATCGGTTAGTGATGCAAAGATGGCCTTTTGTATGTCGTCTGATTCAGCACACTCCTCATCCTTACTTGCCGATGATTGTGTCTCGTTTCTTGACGATTGCTCTTCTAAGTCTGTAAAATAGTTTCATTATAAATTTAAATCATGGCTACCTTATCATATATGATGTTTTCAATAATTTAACATAATTTATCATAGTATTAGCACATCAGCGGGTAGTGATCCTGTAGAATATCGTAAAAGAAACCCTCATGCTGGTAAGATATCATGATTTCCTTCCTTAAAGATACTCTCTTTACACATTTGCTAATACTATGATAATTATTTCATTTATTTAATAGTTGCTTTATTTACAAAATTTTGCCGTATTTTCTTCATTCTTGCGTGGACTGAAAAGTCTTTTAAATATGGACAACTTCTTCTCAGGAGACTCTGAGACCCTTTGCTTCTTCTTTTCATTGCTTGTTGGAGTTGTAGGGTTGCTGCTCAACTGAGATATCAAACTGTCGGTGCTTCCATCTGAAATTCAATTTTTATTTAACACATCACAACTTACTTGATAAATTAAGTTTATTTGAAAGTTGAAAACAAAAACTTTTAAGCTACCTCTGTCGGCGTTTGCTGCACTTGCTTCCTCTTTTTTCCTCATGTCTTTTTCAGCAATCAATTCTGCTTGTTTTCTTTTTTGTATTCCTTCTGAAAAATGTAACATTGAACATGTCAACAATTTTCCTCTTAAAGTAAAGTCCTTTTTAAGAAAAGAATTACATACCTTGCAATTTTTCAACAACTTTTAATTTACGCTTATGTTCGTCGATGGTTTCAGTTATATTGGAAGTGGCCTTACGGCCACTAGTCACAGGCCTATTTGGACGAGCAAAACCGGAAGCGTCGTCTTTGCTTGTGCTTGGGTATCCTGCAATTAAATGCAAACAAATTGACATTAATAATAATAAATTAAATTACTATCATTTTCATAGGTAAAGATTGAATTTGTAAAACAAAATGACATTAAGAACTTACTCATTGCAGTTTGCTCTGCGCTTTCGTTACATATACTTGATACGCCGTGCTTGTTGTAAGCACGGATGCGAAACTTGTACTGCTTGTTCATATTTAAACCATAAATTCTTTTCTCCGTTTCGACGGATTCGTGTAAAGAGGATATTTTCCAAACGCCATTTTCCCACACTTCAATAATATATCCTGTTATTGAAGAAGTGTTGAGTATTGACGGTATTGTCCAAGTGAGCTTAGCGTTCTTTTCCACTTTACCAATTACTATCAAATCACAAGGTGCATCTGGTGGACCTGAAAATCAGATACATACAGCATTGTCAATATATAATTTTATATTGATTTGACAAAAACATGATGCTAATAACATTTACATTTCAGTTTACATTTCTTATTTTGAAAAATGCTTAAACTTACAAAGATTTGATTCTATCACGCTTGATCCACTGGCACCATCGTCGTCGTTTGCTTCTGAAAAAAAATTAAATCCCCCTTCACACACACTGCTGTACACGCTCAAATTATGGTTAAAGTTGAAAATTATTAAATTGAATGGATGAAAAAATTGATAATAATTTACTTTTTTCTTGTATTGGCAACAGCCACACCGTACTCGAACCCTCATCGGATTTCTCTTCACCATTTACGGCTCGAACACGCAATTGATATTTCTGACCTTTAATTAGCCCTTCCACAATTCCAGTAGGTATTGCCGGTTTGATTGTGGTGGAAATTGTCCAATCTTCTTCAACTGTTTTCCACTCAATCAGGTACTCATCTACATCATTTTGTTGGTCTTCATCCACATGCCAGGCAAGACATACAAAATTTTTCCCTAAAGACTGAACATTCAAATATTCAGGCTCTGGTAGGGCTAGAAAGCAGAAAGAAAAAATATTTTAACATCACAAATGCATTATATTATACTCTTTAATAATGATGCAAATTACAAATGTTTGGGTCTTCCCGTCGTAATGGTATGAGCAGCTCAACTGATACTACTTTATGGTCGACATTGCTATTCCGATTTTCTCCTTCCGTTTCTGCAATAAGAAATTAATAATTAAACTTCTTGTATGCAATATTCATACCCCTTTTTTTTGGAATACGTCAATAACTCACCAGCAGAAGGCATTTGTACACGCACACTCGGTTGGCATACATCACTAGAGAGGCCATGACTGTTGATCGATCTGACTCCCAATGTGTAAGTTTTATTTATCTCCAATTTCGATATACGTCCACTATTTTGTGGAGCTTTCACTATCAACACTGGTTGAAGCTTTCTTCTTTCCTCTCCCAACTCGACAATGTAATTTGTTATTACCAAGTCATCTTTCCGTTGTGCCGGTGATGATGACCAGCTAATATCAATGTAATTTTCGCCCACATCATCTACACGTACGTTGAAGGGTGCACTAGGTGGCTCTTGAAAGAAGATGTAGATATTATTGTTTAGTCACAAAATTTAATTGACATTCAATTTATTAGCAAGCAATATAATATACATACTTCCTTTTGAACTGCCCTTGATTTTCTTCATTTTCTATTGCTTGGTCTTATGCAATTTTGATTATTGACATCATACACCTGGAATGATAAAAATAATTAAGATATACAATAATTTATTTGTGTTTGCGACACTAATTTCAAAATTGCGACTTGCGTTAAAATTAATTAAAATAGGAAAATATAAAAAAAACTTAAAATCTAATTTCTTAAAAAGCTCAGTTGCTTAATGAAATATTAATTGCCATCTTTTCAAATGTAAATGAATTTCTGATGAAGGAGTGTATCAAGATATACATTATAAATGTTACAATAAATGCAGAATTCAATACTAGAAAATAAATTACATTTAAGGGGAGGGACAGTTAAAATTTCAACCTTTCAATATTTACGTTGTTTGAAAATAATCAATTTTTTTTGGTTTTATTTATGATCTAAATTTATTCTATATTAATACAATTAAAAAAAATTTTTTTGTCCATTTTCGAAATTTTAGAATTGCTATCACGTTTAACTAATTGCAATTCAATATGTTTTCCACCTACTTCAATATGAACTTGACCGACAGTAGTAATCGTTCTGTTTCTAAGAATATATATCTCGGATCGGTCTATATTGACAAAAGGAGCCACCATGTGACAGTACCCTTAGTTATGAAGTCGAATGGAAATTGATACCACAAGTAGGTATTAAAACAGACCTAAGCAGTATTGAAATCAAACCGCTTTTAAAAGAGTACCCATTTTATATCGTCCATCCTTTTTACAGTGTAGTATTTTCCCACTATATATATACATATACTTTTTCCTTATAGCATATTTTTCCCCTTTATTTTCATTTTACTATTTTTGTTTTTGAATTGCAATACGTGTACATACAATGGACCAAAACATGGTTTGCAAAAGTACTTTTCCAAGTTTGTATTCGTTTTCGCGGTTTGCTTTTGACCCCATGGAGAAATAGAAAGAAGAAAAAGAAGAAGAAGAAGTGAATGCAGAGGTGTACAAGAGAAGAGACCAAAAGTCGTTTCGAATTTCCGGATATGCCATTCTTACTCACGGAATAAGACTTGTCCCATTGTCTGTTTCCCACGTTATTTCTTTCTTTTTATATTATCTATTTTCCTTTCTTTCTTTTCTTCTTTCTTTAAAGAGGTTTGCATTTTCGCTTCTTGAAATCGTAAACTTCAACAAAATCTAATCCCGCAGTGACCTAACCAAGATGCAGAATTGAATAACCTTCTGGGTATATAAGTCTTAAAAAAGACAAATCGAATTTTTCTTTTCGCTTTTTTTTTCTTCTTCTTATAATTCTCATCACGTAAAAAGGTTACTTTTAAAGTGTGTTCAAATAAGGTCAAGACTCTCTTGACTTTTCAAGTTACATTACTGTTATTAAGTAATTAATCCCTTGTTATTAACTCAAAAAAAAGTTTGTCAATAACTTCTTTTTATTTTAAACTTTAAATTTTGTTTATTCTGTATACGAAAAAGATTTTTGAAATCATATTGAGAATGAAGATAATTAAAAAGTTTTTAATAGTTTTCATAACCTTTCTTTTCTTACAAAAAAAAAAAGAGAGAGAGACTTGAAAGCTCGAGAGAGTGTACTCTAAACTAAATAAAATAGAATAAAGACGGGTAACTAAAGCCGCAACCAAAAGTTGCAAGTAAGGCGCGCAAGAACTTCAACAATTAGCAGCTATACTAAAGCACTAGACTTAGAACAAAGCACATAAGTTTCTAACTTTCACTCAGTAACATAATAATGAAATATTTACTGAGTTATACTACATTGTATATATAAAGTATCATTATAGATCATAAAATAATTATTAAATAATCCCCCAAAATATACTCGTCAAAAAATTTCTTTCATTTAAAAATGTTTACAAATTTTAATAAATTCTTATTTTTTCAGTTGCTCCCCGTGTTATAATAAAGGAACAAATTTTGGGAACACCAATTAATACAAATGTCACTTTAAAATGTGAAATCGAAGGTTTTCCAAAGACAATTAATTTTTGGAAACACAAAACAGTGGATAATTTAGATGGAGTTCTCGTGAGTGGGTAAGTAATTAATATTACTAATTATTCAAACTTTTATTATGATTTAATTTTTAATCTAATTACTTGATTTTTAAAATTGGTTAAAAAAAAGAAAAATTATCATTTCTTTTCCACCGCAGATGAAATTACATTTTTCTAAAGAGATTTTATTCGATGATTATTATTCGCGCGCAATTTAAATTCTGAAGAGTTTTTCTGACCTTTCGCTCGTTTGATTTTATATTCATCTTTTGCAATTTTTTTTTTTTTTTTTTTTTCTATATTCCTTTTTTTGTATGACGGGGAAATTTAATTTGCATATTAATTTTCATCAATCAATTTTTGATTACACACAGAAAAAGATATGAGATTACTGAAAAAATGAATCCAGACGAGGAATGGAAAATAACTACAATATTGAATATAAAAGGAGTACAACCAAAAGATTTAGGTTTATATACCTGTTTAGCATCATCGAGTTTGGGAATTGCCGAATCGTCCATCAGCTTACTCGGTAAGAATTGATTTTAAAAATTTAATTATTTGAATAATATTTTCTTTCAAATACTTTTTTGCCCAATTATTTTTCGCATAAATTTATAAATTATATGTAAACAAAAGTTAACGATAGAAATGTTGATTTTTCAAACGATATATTTTAATTTTTTTTTTTTTTTTTTTTATCTCATTATGTATCTTGAAAACTTTTCTTTGTACAAATTTTCCTGTACAATATATTTCTCAACTAACTTTCTTTCTTTTGTAATTATTCATGAAGAAGCGAAGAATTCTAGAAAGAAGCTTATACTCTCAATCCGTGTTTCTAAAAAACTTTTCAAAGTTCAATTGAAGAGGAAAAATGAAAAATAAAGGGATACAATACACAATATTCCACGGCAACTCTCAGCATTATTTAAATTCCAATCTTGTTTAAATAATGAAAACAAAAGTAACACGAAACTTAATAGCCGCACATTGTTTCAATTAAAAAAATTTTTTTTCCCTTAAAATCGAAAAGAGATTATTGAAAATTTTTTTACAAACTTCGAAAAGTTGTTTATAAGTATAATTTTGTAATGCAACTAAAAAAAATAGAAATTAAATTTTCTACATTAACCTATTTTTTTCGAAATGAATGAAATATTTTAAATATATCTCTTTTTTTTAAATATTGTCAGATTTAAATTAATAAAGCTTTTTGAAATGAAACCAGAATTAAACGAAATATAGAAAAAGTATTATAAATTAATTTAATCATTTAATTAACTTATATGTAATTTTTTAATTAGATATTATATGCAAGATATTTGAAATGATTTCCAGATTGTAAATTAATTAACTTTAATTCAATATTTCTTTCAATCCAAATGGGAATAATGTTAATTTTTCAAAATTTTTTTTAGACATTCATTTTAGAGTTCTAAAAAAGATATATGTATTCACCACAAATTGGGTTTGATTAATTATAAAATTTATTAATTTTTAATTAAATTAGTTGATAATTAAATTACAATTTAATATAGTAAGACAGAATACCGCTTCGAACTTTCATCAATCTAAAAGTAAGGTTTCATAATGTTAAATTTTCAAAAGTTCTACATATTCCGATATATTTAACATACGTTTTAATTACTTGTAAATTAATTTAAAAAAACAGATAATTTAATCATTATTTAATATTATTAATTATTAAATTAATTATATTCTGTATCGTCTGCAGTTTTTGGAAATGTTGTATTTTTTTATTGATAAAAAAAAAAAAATTTGCAAATTAAAATTTGATAAGTGGAATTTGAACTTAAAATTTCTGATACATTTATCAAATAATTTATCGAAAATATGAATATATAAAACAATTTCCTGGGAATAATTTTATAAAACATTTCTTTTCAAGAATAGTGAAATTAAGAGCAAACGAAAAAAAATAATTCTAAAGACACAAATTTTGCTTTTATTTTCAGAAATTCAACCCCATACATTTCCAACAAGAGCGACAATGAACGGAGGGCAACATAGGAATAGACTACCAAATGAGATGGATTCAACAACCCTAAATAGAATATTTCACCAGCTTAGTACACCGGCAATGCAGAAAAGCACTGCAAGATTGGTATCCAATAAGATTTTAACGACCACTATGGATCCTCGTATAGCGTTAACCAAGAACAAGAACGCTCTTAAACATAATGAAGTGCTGAACGTGCAGAGCAACGCCATTGCCATAAACGTGATCAAGCAGATAAGTGCGATTTGTGTGCTGGTTTCTTTTACGCTGCGGTAATTCGAAGCGACGATAAAATTAGAAAACTGCTAGGTACAAGAGCAACGATTTTCCATTTTATAATGCGCCTAACGATGAGAACAACGATCCGCGTCTGTTATATATATATATATATACATACAATGGAAGAGTAAATTCTCTTTTACAATATAAAAAAGGGGGAACAGACTATTGATGGCGCAATCAAGATTTTTTTTAACCCGGCGAAAAAAAAGAAAATTCAATGTTTTTAATATAGACACAGAATTTAGCCGAAATAATATATTTTCTAATCACAAATAATCTTGATGATTTCAATCAATTTGGAAAAAAGTTAAGACACAAAAATAATCCAATTTTGTTTTCACATAGCTTTCCAATTTTTACAGTTGTTGAAAATAAAGAATTAGTGTCTAAAAAACAATGTAATGACTTCATTATTTTTCAAATTCACTTCCAAATATTATAGAAAAAAATAATAATAATAATTAACTCTAATTTTTAAAATCTTTCGTTAATATTATACAATTAAAAATTTTTTTTGTAGTTGCAAATTTTTAAATTGTACAAATTTGGAAAATTTTTAATATTGTTAGGAGAGAAAAAAGTTGTAAATGTCTTTTTTTTCCAAAAAGAAAACTACTTCTTTCTAAAAATAAAAGCAAATGCCAAAGAAAAATTTGCGAATGTTTCTATGAAATATTTGCAATCAATTATTATCACACTTTACTAAAAGTCGACTGAATTGAAAATTTCAAAAAATGCTAATAAAAAAATCAGCCCAAAAAAAATATTATCAAGAAAGAAATCTCTTTCTACATGTACAGATTCCTGCTTAAACTGTTAAGATCGTAGTTAACTTAATAATATATATATATTGTATTTTAAAAATAATTATAGCTACTAGACTGTAATAACTGTTTTTATTATTTCTGTTATTAAACGTTTCAGGGATGTCTTGTCTGTATACAAATTAAAATAATTATTTAAATGTAAAATCTTTTTAATAAAATCAAGAGATGATAAATTTTTTCTTTAATTCCCATAGCCATATATAAAAAAACAAAATTTTTCAGTAGTTTAAATTTAAGTTTCATTTCTCATAAAAAATCATTTTTTCACAGACTTTCTAATTCAAAATTTTTGCACTATACAAACTAATTTCAAAACCATCACTTTATTCCATAAATAATAAAAACAATTTTTTAATTCTTTCCAAATATAAAAAAAAAAAATTTCATTCCATCATTAATTTAAAAAATGAATCATCATAATTAAAAAAACAATAATCTATAAATATATCCAAAACTCGTATGCTCCGAAAAAAAAAATTATTTAAAGTTGCTTGATGAAATTTTTTATAAAAAATAAAAAATAAAAAAAAAGAATATATATATACATAAATGTAAGAAAAAAAAAATGTTTGTGATATTAAGGCTTACGTTCGCTCTTGTCTTCTATCTGACAATATTTTGCAATTAATGAAAAGAAAAATAAAAAAAAAAGTATATAGATAAACTCTCTTTATTTCAAATCAAATGCTGACAAATAATTAGCGTATCAAAGTCTCTAGATTTAAGGAAAGGCAAAAAAAAGATACTTAAATGTGAAATAAATAAATAGCTCTAGAAAAAAGAAAATTCCGATATGTGTATAAGAAAGGTATAATAAATATAAGATTATTGAAAAAAAAAAATTATAAGCAAATTTAATCTCAGAAAAAATGCGATTATGATGCTAATAAAACTGATAAATAGCATATCGACGTAAAATTTCATATCCATAAATAAACACAATACATTGTACTAATTTAGAAAAAAAAATTCGATTAGAAACTTATTATTTTATCGATAATTTTGATACTTTATACAAAAAGAATCAAAATGTATCGAATTTAATTAAGGCTTTAGTATCTAAGAAAAAATAAACCTAAATTCGATTTGTAATGAAATACAATTTGAATAAAAGAAAAATAAAAAAATAATAATATTAATTATAGCGCATTTCAAGAAGATAATACAATATTGTATAGAAAACGAAATAATACTAAAAGTGGTTAAATTTAAGTCCTGCTAGCTCCATTTGAATCGGATGTAGATTAGTGAGAAAATAGTTATGAATAGGCTGGTAAAAGACGAAACTATTTACTGGCAAAAAAAAAGTAAATTGCGAGGATTTAAAAACACATTTTTTAAAAGTTCGACTAGTAAGTGACGTTAGCTCCTTTTTTTCCTCAAAATCTGAATTTAAAAATTTATATACTTGAAAAATAAATTTTCAGTTTCACACCTATTTCCTAATTAAGCGAATTAATCAATAAAATGTTAATTTTTTTTTCAAAAAACAAGGCCTATTACATTTTTCTAAACCTGACACATAATTTATAGTCCAAAATTAGAAAGAAAATTTTTAATTCCATTTGAAAAAAAATCCTGAGAGAAAAAAGAAATTGTTAAAATATATTGGAACTGTTTAGATAGAATATCATTAAAATTAATAATGATTAATAGCTAGTTTAAGGAATTTTCTTTTCAATAATAAACAAATGCGTTTAAAAGTGAAAAAAATCGCATTTTATTAAGTTTTATTCAATAAGGACTAGATTTAATTTTTAGATAAGATAATTTTTTTCTAGGTACGATAATTTCCTATAGATAGATAATAATTTTCTATTAAAAAAAAAAAAAAATGGAAAATTTTCTCTTTAGAATTTAAGTAACAGCATCGTGTGGATTACTGTCTTTTCAAAAAAAAAAGAAAAAAGAAAAAAAAATGCAGGGAATGATGTTATGATAAGTGTAATTGACTACAGTATTGAACGATGCTCAATATTATTACTATTATTACAATAATGATTATATTTAAAGACGTTGTTGTTTATAGAAAAATATATATATTGTGAGAATAAGCTGAGAATAAAAAAAAAAAAAAAAAAAGAATGTGCTCAAAATTGGACAATTATATATAAGTATAGCTTCGCTATCTTAACGTGTTGACAAATAATGTATATCGTGTAACTAGCATTATTGTTTTGTTTTCATAGACCTACTTTAAGCTTACATAAGTGTATTTTTTATGTATATTCCAGTCGAAGGAACAAATACAAAATGTTTGTCATACGAACGTAATTCTCACATTTTTCATTTTTTTGTGGACATTACCTTTATCGCGTCTCTAAATACACACAGATGGTCCAACTTTGGTCGATTTAAAATGTTATATATATTTGTTTTTTTTTTACAACCATCCTATTCCTCTCAAGACCAAAACAATATACTGAAAGCCATGAAGAGACAGCATAATGCAACATAAGGACTCTTTCGCTCCCCAATCCTGGCACACTTCCAGAAGATCCCCAGGAATCTAGCGACGACACAATCATTTAAAAACGGTTCTTTGACAAAAAAAAAGAAAACGAGAAACAGAAAAAATAAAAGAGAAAATGAATATTTCAGAAAAAGCTTTTACCCCTCTCTTTTTTTTTGGTACTAACCCAACTTTATTCCTATCCAGCAAACTGGGCACTATAGATCGAATATACGCACACGTACAAATTAGCAGCAGAATTACTGTCAGCAGACTCTGGAAATTAAATAGGGCAGACTACCCATGGAAAAGAAAGAGAATTAAAATTCGTCTTAAATAATCTTTGTTTTCAGTAATAATGATAAACTTTTGTTTTGACAATAAATTGGATTATTATAAAATTATTCAATTTCAATTATTATTATTATTATACAATTGGATTATTTATTAAATTTTCGATAAAATAAAAATTACGTTCAAAAAACATTCAAGCAATAATTATTTAAAAATACAATAGATTTTCATTTTTAAAAAATCAATGAACTTCAACCTAATAATTAGCATTATTATTATAATTTGTTCTGATTTGACATTTCTTTAAAAACATTTGAGGTTATGTAATCAAAAATAAATTAACATTGTAAAATTCAAATTTTAAAAAACTGATAAACTATCTTTTGAAATAAATTTTCATTTCCTGATTCAATGGAATTTAAAAACAAATAATTACAATAACAAAAATATACTTTTTAAAATTTTTGAGGTTATATCTACATCAGTGACAAAACAAAATTTTATCATCATTACTAAAAAGATAAAAGTAACAAATTTAAGTTTTCCGACTCACCATTGCATTAGACAAACAATTCTATATCGAATCAACTAATCAGTTAAGTAAAACTGATTTAAATAAATGTTTCACATGCAAAAAACGTCGACAATGTTGACGTGTCGGAAGACAATGAGCAACAATGGACGCAGCCATCTTGAATTTTAGAAAAGGCGAGTTCACATAAATGGAGTTTGCGCAGAGACATAATTATCATCGACCAATGAGAAAACGGCGCGTAATTTAAATATCACAACAAATATTTTTTGTTATTTTAACCAAATTTTCTAAACTTCTTCTCAAAAACAATAGAATATTTTAATTACATGTAAAAAAAACTAATTTCTATCAAATAATTATCCTAAATTTTTTTTAATTTTTCCCAATATTTTCAAATAACCAATGTATTTCTATTGATGTCTTATAAAATAAGAAACACCCACGATTCAAGTGCGCAAAATCTCTTTAAACGCGTTTGACAGCGCATTGGAATTCCGACAACTCGGCGATTGTCGTGAAAATGACAACGATGTTCAAATTTGGATAAATAACATTAAATAATTAAGTCTTTTTTTTTAAAAAAAAATCGCGGTTTCTTTGAAACCTGTGACTGTACGTCACACTATCATTAAAAGCGCTTTTGTGTGAAAGAATGCGGAACGTATAAGAAGTAGAAAAAAAAACTCAACATCGTGATTCACAGGACGAATTCTCTCGTCAGCGTGTGAGCAGTGGTAAAATGGCTGCGGGAAACGTCAATACATTTTCCATTGATAAACGACTCTCGTTTTGTAAATAAGTCCAACGAAATCGTCATCATATTGGTAAATGTTGTGTCAGTGATTTACAAAAAAATTTCAATAGACATCATTATTTTGAAGCATATGCAACGAGAATGGCAGAATTTGTACGAGGAGGACCCAGCGTGTCAAACAGTGTTAAGGTATATGTTTATATATTGTTTTGTTATTCTTATATATATGTATATATATATATATAGTATATTAAAACCGGACGTTTCCAACATTCTCCAATTCTTATCAAGAAAAAAAATCCCTTCTCACAGATAAATGGAAAACAAAGGAAAGAGAATGATATTTATTCTCCAAGACTTTAAATATAACAAACGCGACAATAAAAAAAAAAAGAAAATAGACAATATGACGCTCTTCTTTTTTTTCAATTAAAATTCATTCCAATTGTTTACAAATTATCGAAAAATACAATTTTTTGTTATTATTTTTCTTTCGATCACTGGATTTTTTTAAAGAGAAAGTAGACAAACACAGAAAACAGAACTGTAATTTTCCCATATACGCAAATCTTTAATTTAATTGTTCTTTTATAATTATGGGAAGAAAAAAAAGAACCGTAATTAACTAACTGGAGCCTTTGCTATATAATGTCGAGAGAGATAACTACATATTATTCGTTTGATAATACTTTAATTTTTATACAGGAATTTTATTTTCAAAAATTAATTTATATTTAATTTTTTATTTTTAAATTAATACATATTAATTTGTATTAGAATACAGAAATAGTAATATGGATCTTATTTTTAATAGGAATCTTTAATATATTCAATTTTTTTTATAAATTATAAAGAATACATTTACTTTTTTAATTATTGAAAAAAAATTTCCTGCATAAAAATACTGAATACTTTTTTTTACGTGAAAAACAGATTGATCACAATAGTAAGGGAGGATCACCCAGTACCGGAAGTGAAGATGGAGGTCCTAATGAATCCCTAAATGCGGAAAACGAATTTGATCCATTTTTAGAAAATATACCAGATGATCCTCCAGACACGGAAGAGCCAGATAGTGGAAACAACACACTTTTAACTGCTCCCCCAGAAAACCAGTAAGTTTTTTTTTATAATAATTAATTAAATAAATAAAAAACGAGAATTTTTTTCAATTAAAGAAATTTTATCCCACTAATGAGAAATTTCAGCACTTTACTTGAAATTTTATTAATTATATAAAGAATTATTCTCAACAGAATAAAAACAATAATAATGTGAAAATAAATTAATTTTTCCCACAGATGGTATCATGGACGATTGGATAGGTTCACTGCCGAGGAAAGATTGTGGGACGCGAGTAAAATGGGAACATATTTAGTTCGTGAGAGTGACAGAAAGCCCGGTAGTTATGTTCTTTCATACCTGGGACGTACGGGAATTAATCATTTTCGAATTACAGCTGTTTGCGGTGATTACTATATCGGTAAGTAGAAAAAAAAGAAGACTTGCAATGAAAATGTGAATGAGATTATTTTTTTTTGCCTAACACTGTTTTTCAATTGATTATTGCAGGCGGTCGTCAATTTAATAGCCTTTCAGACCTTGTTGCCTATTATACCCATTGTTCAGATCTGTTGAAAAGAGAACGCCTTATACATCCAACACCACCACCTGAGCCTGTCAATGATAAGAAACGAATTGTCGCAATATTGCCCTACACTAAAATGCCTGATACTGATGAACTTAGCTTTCAAAAGGGTGATATTTTTTTCGTTCACAACGATATGGGTGATGGATGGCTTTGGGTCACTGCCCATAGAACTGGCGAGCAAGGCCTAATTTTTCGTGAACTTGTCGAGGATTTAGATGATTCAATTGATCCAAATACTGTATTCTCATGGTTTCATCCAAATGTCACGAAAAGCGAGGCTGTCGATATGTTAGTCAAAGCAGGACCCGGCAGTTTTCTAGTCAGTAATTTGGAAAATTTTTCAAAAATGAAAATAATTATTTATCCAAATTATTTTTCAAATTTTGAATATAATTTTTTTTTTATTCAAATATTTTGATATTTTTCAAATTAAAATAAAAAACAAAATTTTAATTAATTTGCAAACTTCAGGTATATAAATTGTTTTATGAAAATTAATTTATAAAAAGGAAGATGAAAAGTAAAAACTAGATTTTTTTTTTTTTGATAGGTCAGACCTTCAGACAATAGCCCTGGCGATTATTCTCTTTTCTTCCATATCAATAATCAAATTCAAAGATTCAGAATTGAAAAGAAAGGTGTACGTTATTTGATGGGCGGTCGAACTTTCGAATGTCTAGACGCTGTTATAAACAGGTAAATAATTTCTATCCTAATTTTTCCGATTTTTGGAAACTGAAAAAAACTTTTGCATTTTTTCCTTGAAAATTGTGGGAAAAATGTAACAAAAAATGAAAACAAATTTCTTTCGTCGTGTAATAATTTTTTTTTTTCAACTTTATATAGATATCGAAAGGAGCAGATAGTGGAAGGTCACACATTAGTTCAAGCGATGGTGACGGAACCCGATGGCAGTGTTCGTGTTAATAGAGAAGTGCAACACGCCGAGAAAATATACGCAACCTTACGAGAGTGTCGAGAACAATCTGGAGCAAAGAAAAATAAGGGAATTAAAATGCAAGGTTATTTAGAGAAGAAATCAGAGAAAAATAAAAAATGGAAGGCATTGTATTTTGTACTTCTCGTTGATGCTACCGATACTCATTTATATTTATACGATAATCCTAAACGAACAAAGCCAAAGGGCCTCATTGATTTAAGCTGCGCTTATTTATATCAGGCAAGTTTTATTCTACATCTTCAAACAAATAAATGAAAAAAAATGGAATTGAATAGACAATTTTTTTTCAGGTTCATGAGAGTGTTTTCGATAGACCTCACTGCTTTCAATTGGTAGAGCGAGCTCTTCCCTGTTTAGCAACGATAACATATTTGGCAGCACCAAATTCTGAAAACGCATCAGACTGGATCAATGCTTTAAAACCATTGTGTGTTTCACAATTAACACGTGCGCCAAAAGTCGCTCGTTTACGTGAATTGCGCTCATTGCATTTACACATTCTTGACGCACATCGACTTCCATATAAATTGGTGCCGAATCCATTTATTATTGTAGCTTTAAATAATGTTAAAGTTGCCCGCACAAAAGTTAAGACTGGATTACATCCCCTTTGGGATGAAGAATTTATACTCGAGTACGTAAATTAAATTTAAATTTATTATTTGACTGCCAATGGAATATTTTTTGAGAAGAAGAAATTATTTTAATACTTCAAATTATTTTACAGAGATGTACCACCGGATGTGATGTCATTTTCTCTAACATTATACAATAAAGGAAAACGAAGTAAAGATACCGAGGTGGCTGAACTGACAGTCGATCTATCAAGTCTGACTAATGGAGAAGAAATGGATGAGTGGTATCCATTATCTGGCGTTACACCACTTGGAGAATGGGGAGCGTTACGTTTGCGTTTAAGGTAATAATCTCTCTAAAAATTGTTGAATATTTTGTCAAAACGATAATAATTTATCATAACATGATGAAAAATAAGAGGATCTAATGCAAAAAAAATTTTTCTAGATACCGACACGATTTGGCAATGCCACCAGAAGAATACAGTCCATTGCAACAATTGTTACTGGATCCGGAATTACACGTTGTCAGGGCATTAGCTGATGTTTGTCATTTGGATCGTGTTCCATTGGCAAATAGTCTTCTCAGAATATTTAGGTAGTTTTCGAATTTCAAAAATAATTTTAAAATAATTTTTTTCTTAAATTTAAAATGCTAAATTTAATTAAATTTTTTTTATAGGCACGACAGAAAAGAAGCCGATCTTCTCAAGTCTTTAAATCAGGCAGAAGTAAGTAATTTTATCAAATTGGAACATGAATTGAATAATTTTCAATTTATTTTTTTGCAGGTCGATAAAGAAGACGAAACACCAACACTATTTAGAGCTGCAAGCCTTACGACAACATTGATGGATCTTTATATGAAATCAGTGTGTACGTCATTCTTAAAAGCTGCTCTACGTGACACAATAGTCAAATTAATCGAAAGTAAACAAAGCTGTGAATTAAATCCTACAAAAATGGACTCGCCAGAAGACGCTTGCAATAATGCTGAATTTTTATTACAAGTACGTCGTTACTTTTTTTTTTAAATTTTCAAAAATTATTTCAATGAAAAACTAATTTTTTTTTATTGCATAGGTTTTGGATGAAGTAACTTTGAGCATTTTTACAAGCCCTGATGCATGTCCTAAAACATTAAGGTACATTTGCGGTTGTTTACAAAGAGCAGTAGTTTCAAAATGGCCTCACGAAAGATTGGTCAGAACAAGAGTCGTTAGCGGTTTTATATTTTTACGTTTATTGTGTCCAGCAATTTTAAATCCAAGATCTTTTAATCTTATCGCTGAACCACCACCGCCTGCTGCTGCACGGTAATAAAAAAAAAATAATAAAATTTTTTAACTGCATTAAATAATTAAAATAATTTTCAAATATTCATTTTAAACAGATCCTTGGTTATGGTTGCAAAATGTCTACAAAATTTGGCAAATTTAGTCGAATTCGGTGGTAAAGAACCGTATATGGAAGTTGTTAATCCATTTATTCTTAAAAACAAAGAAAGAATGGTCGTATTTTTAGATCAATTATCTGTAAGTATTTTCAAATTGTTTTTTAATAATAAATTTTTTAAATAAAAATATAATTTGAAATTCTTTTTTTAACTGTTACAGAATATTACGGAGAAACCAGATTCTGAGGGCACAGATCCAAGAGGAAAATGTGGTTCTGACACGGCAAGAGATTTGGCAACTTTGCATCATATTTGTGTATCACATTTAAAAGAGCTACAAGCTTTGTCAAAAACTCAGGTATTGTTATCACTATTTTTTAAAAAAAAAATTACAAAGATGAATGTAATTTACAGTGATATATTTAGAAATATTCTAGAAACAAATCAATTTTAATAAACGAATGTTGAATTTATTACAGCCCACAATCAAACAATTGGTAACTGTGACGGAAATGTTGAGCAAACACAAACAGAAATATATGGAAATGATACGGTAGTGCTGAAGCCATAAACCATCGATAAAATGCCAAAACGCGACAAAATAGTTAACAAATCAATATCGACAAGTTAAACATAGTAGTATTTAATGATAAATATGATTAATTGGTTTAACTAAAATTTTAACAGACTGACGTGCCATATATTATTGTATACACACAAGCCTACATTTACTATTTACTTATGTAATTAGAATTTAGTTTATACATTATATAGCAAAAGTAACATAACAGTGATATAGCAATTATTATATAGGCATATGACAATTTTATATTCACTTAGGTGCTCGAAAATAAATATATATAAATCGAAATAAGTTCCTAATTTAATCGATCCACCCATTAAAATTATCCTAATATTCCTATTAACTTGAGATTTTAAAAAATATTAATTTTAATTAACAAATATATTTATAATAAATAATTAAAATTTTTTTAAATTTAATTGCAAAATTAAATTAGTTTAAAATTTTTAAATTGCATTTCGTATAAATAGTTTCCGAGAATTCAAGCTTATTACCTGAGCATCGGAAACGTTTGTAAACAAAAAGGGAGAAAGTAATTTTAGGGGGCAGGGGATTAGACAAATGTATCACACCATTGCAGAAAAACACCTTTAAGATAATAAAATGTAAACAAATTATATTAATCAGAATTTAACAAAATTTACTCACTTTTGTTTGATTGCCACCATGTTGTCCAATCCAGACTGGGGTGATATTAATTCCATAATATAGAGCAGATTGATGTTAATCCTGTTGCACTCACTAATCACAAATGTAAACACTAATGACCTTCAAGTATATCACTTCGGATATATTTCACTATGAATTTTATAAGACACTTATTTCTTTTATTTATCACAAATTAATCACTTTTCTTTATTTCACATAATGTAATTTCACTCGAAATAATTGATGAATTAATTATTAATTCTAATCGTAAACACTAGAAGACACGGTACAACTATGAAACTTTAAGAAAAGTGGGGAGAAGAAATACCCCGAAATTGCTCTACTTCGTCTGTGATTGGTCGAAAATGTCTACGGTGTCGTGGAGCAGGTGTAATTGAGAATTAGTAACTTGCCACAATAAAGTACCGATCATATGATGTATATATGTATATATATCACATAATTATATTTAAATATTTATTATATATTTATATATATATATATATACTTCGTTTATATTAAATTATACTAATCACAAAATATATCACAGATTCTAAAAAACGTTACTTGAATTACGTTCACACAAATTCAAACTCAATTGAAAACCTGCTCCTCGCTCCGTAGTTGGTCGAAAAATTCTACGGTGTCGCGGAACACATTAGTTGAGAATTAGTGAAGAATTTCTTTTGATAGTTATTAATTATCACTTAATTATTTGATCCATCCTTCTTTTTTGAGAGTCTTTTATTGAAATCTAACCGACTGAGTATAAAAAACCACGATTCAAATTAATTAATTGTGAAATAATTGTCTCAAGTCCACTTTGTGCGCCAATTTACCATCTTGCTGTTTCTTCACATTAAAACCGATAATTTCACGAAAAACGTTTACTTTTTCGGCACTCCCGATATAAAAATACGAAAACCTACACGAAATTGATTATTAAAATTCGCACTTTAACTTTAATTACTTGAAAATAATTTAGAAAATTGAAAAATTCTAACAAACGACACGGAAAACGACCGCACATAGCTGCACTCTACAGTGCACTGTAGTTACCAACCTGCTTCTTGCTTGTGATTGGTCGAAAATTCTACGGTGTTGCGAAACACGTTAGCTGAGAATTAGTGAAGAATTAGTTGACCGTTATTAATTTTAACTCGATATATTTTTATTAAATTAATTATTTAGTCCATCTTTTTTTTGGAAGAGTCCATTATTGAAAATTAATCGATCGACTAGGAAAAAACCCGGTTTAAATTAATTAATTTTGGTTTATAATTGTCGCGAATCCTCTTTGTGCACTAATTTACCGCCTAATTGTTTCTTTACATTATAGAACCGATAATTTAATTCAAAATGTTCATTATTTCGGCACTCCCGACTTATAAATGCGAAAACCTACATGAAATCGATTATTAAAATTCACACTTTAGATTTAATTACTAGAAAATAATTAAGAAATTGAAAAATTCTCACGAGCGACACGCAAAACGACCGCACATTGCTGCACTCTACAGCATACTGCTGAAGTCAAAGCAATGACCATACTGAATCCCGATTCTTGCTCGTGATTGGTCGAAAATTCTACGGTGTTGCGGAACACTTTAGCTGAGAATTAGTGAAGAATTAGTTGACCGTTATTAATTTTAACTCGATATCTTTTAATTAAATTAATTATTTAGTCCATCTTTCTTTTCGGAGAGTCTTTTATTAAAAATTTATCGACTGATTAGGAAAAAACCCAGTTTAAATTAATTAATTTTAATTTATAATTGTCGAGAATCCTTTTTGTATGCCACTTTACCATCCTGCTGTTTCTTCACATTAAAACCGATGATTTCACGAAAAACGTTTATTCCTTCGGCACTCCCGACTTATAAATACGAAAACCTACACGAAATTGATTAATAAAATTCACACTTTAGGTTTAATTACTTAAAAATACTTGTTAAAATGAACAAATTTCCACGAGCTACACAGAACACTACCGCACACAACTGCTTTCAAAAAAGCACTAACAGTCTGAACATAGTTGCGTATCGAGTACGCGATAATAATCGAATCGAATATCGATTCGAACAAGAATCGATTCTTTGTTTATTTTTTTTACTCATAACCTATAAATAAACTGTCATGATGTAATATAATTTGTTTACTTTCTTTTAAAGTATATATTTATAAATAATACACAAAACTTTTATTTATGAATATTCTTTTGTAATAGTGAAAAATCGGATTTAAGAATTATAAAAATGATTTCAAACGCTTTTCGTTTATCAATTTGTTCAAGTAGTTTTCTCTATACTTTTTATGTTATGTGTAATTTGATGATTTTCTTATCAAGTCATTGTGATAATCAAAAACTTGTTCAACTTACTGAAACAGGTATGATTTTTAAATTGTATTTAATAGTCACTAATTTTTTTTATTATTATAATGCTCTATTTGATATAAATCTATTTTAAATTATTTTAATACAATTAACAAAAAATTATTAAAAGTAGAACAATATTTAAACAATGATTTTAATTTATTAAAGCACCTGCAAATTAATTATATGCAGGAAAAAAAAATTGAAAAACGTAATACTCCAATTGTTACCACTCTTTTTAATTTCTACTTTTCAAACAGTAGTATTGTTTTATTTGTGTGATTGTTTAAAAAAAATTTAAATAATATTAAATAATTACTGTAAAATTTATTTATTATTAGAAATAATTTTTTACTTACCATTTAATTTTTTTTTTCGCCAGAAGATGAGGAAGAGGATTCAATTCTTTTGACAATACGATATTTAATATTCGACACATGCTTGATAGTTGCCTTTATACTACAACACTCAATAATGGCTAGTGATTTCATAAAGGAAATCTTTTGTTCATTAAAAATAGAAGATCTTGAACGAAGTATTTATAATGCATGCAGCGCAGGAGCACTTCATTTAATGATTAAATTCTGGACGCCAATATCGTCGTTAATACTTTGGAATATAAATACAACACAAAATTCCAAAATATCATTGATGATGACAGCTTTTCAAATTATTGGCTGGATTGTCGTCTACAGTGGCTGTCTCATGATGGATATTGGTGAATTAGTTGGAATAAAACAAGTTATTTATAAAATTAAAAATTATCCATCACCAATGAGTACAAAATCCCGAGAATTAAAACGATATTTTGCTCACATGAGACATCCAAGTTATATTGGATTCACTTTGATTCTTTGGATTCATCCATTCATGAGGTAGCAAAATATTTATTTTTAAATATAAATTAAGAAAGTTTATATTTTCAAAAAAAAAAATATTAATTTATTTTGTTTCAGCCTTGACCGATTATTGTTGGCAATTATTCTAACAGTATTTATGACAATGATGTGGAACATTGATCAGCAAGATTATCATTATCATCTAGAATCGTTTAATAGAAAAAAGAGAAACTTACATTATTCTTAAATTTTTTTAATTTATATTTATTTCATCTTTTATCGATTATTTATGCTTTCAGTATTCATTCACGCTTCACATTAACACTTGCCATTAATTTATAATTATTTATTTTGCTAATCTTAAAAAGATTAAATAATCCTTTCTAATAATATTTAATTAATATTACGCTAAATTTAAATATTTAACTAATATTAGACTAAAAAAAATTATTTTTTTGTACCAAGTGGGTGTGTGTGTGTGATTTTCTATGATGAGTATTTATAATATAGGATATTTTATTTAATCTGTTTTTTGTATTAAAAGAGCAGTTCCTTTGAGTATCCAATATGATTGTTTTTGTTTTGAGGGTAAAAGAATTGATAAAACAAAATTTGTACTGTGTCCAGTTGTCGATAAAACTCCAGCACGAATGCTCGTCTTATAAAGAGGACAAACATATCTAGGATCATTTGCCGGTAACGATAAAACTGGTTGAATGTGTAAAACTGGCAGTAAAGGATTCATTTCACCTGTAAGTGAAACAAAGATTTACTATAATTTTTTTTTGTTCAAATTGAAAATTAATAAATATAATTTTTCGAAAAAATTTATTTTTCATTTAAAAAATTACCTTTATTTGCATCGACTAAAATCATAGATTGAAAATCCCATCGACCAGCGTCAATAAATAGGCCATGAATAAAAACACCATCCAAAGGTTCTTGAAGATTTTGATAAGCGGACGCAATTTCTTTATTTTCTCTCTTGTGAACTGTTTCGATTTCTTCTTGTTGTAAAAGTATTTTTGTTGCTTTAAAATCCAATTTCAAATGATCAATTGGAATATTATATTTCCTCGCATGAGTTTGAAGCACTCCTGTTATAAATCCTTGAGGAAAGGACAATCCTGATATCCAAAAGGAAATTGGTTTTGAATTTTTCAACCAGATCTGTAAAAAATTTGTAAACAAAAAAGAAATAAAATTTTATATTTTAATTACAAAATTATCAATATGAAAAATTGAAACCTGAATAAAATCAATTCGAAGTTCTAAATCTCGAATCCATGATCCTAAAGTTTTTAGCGAAGGATAGACATTTACTTTGTGCCATACTTCCGGTACCTAATTTTTTTTATTATATAATTAAATTTTCGTTTAATTAATTTTCTATTCTAATTATTTTTTATATTCACTTGATTGTTGACTAAAGCGTTAAACACAGCTTCCAGTTCCGTTGACATCACAACAAATCCTTTAATAGCTCGTTGTAAATTTTCCATTGATGAGTGTATTTTTGATAATAATTTATTATAACGATCAACTTCGTGAAGTAAAACAGTCGTAAGTGATGGAAGACGACCAGCAAAATCTTTCTGTTCGTAAATTATTTTTATACAAATAAAAATAGAAAATAATATATTTTAAATTATTTACTTTCAAATGACTTGAATGACAATCATCTGAATCAATTTTAAGAATGATTCTTCCCATAATCATACTGGCTAATTCATAAGCAATGTCAGACGTTGATTTTCCTTTTTCGCCAATATCTTCTTTTCGTTGCACATCCATTATTGTATCCAAAACAATTTTCGTTTCTTTCAACTGCAAAAACGAGAATAAATCAATTGAAATAATTATTTTTAATTATTTTCCTTTAAATTAATTTTTAAATTCACCTGAAATGTTATATTTGCATTCTCGTGCATTCCAAAAATTTCAGGATCTTCAATAATAGGGAAATTTTCTATAAATTCTCTATATTCATAAAGTGTGATTAAATTTGGAGAAAAGTACGTTCCAGATGCTGAATAAACGTAATCTGAAAATAATTCAATTAATTAATAAATAATTAATTAAATTAATTCATCAGTTTGAATTAAATTCATTTTTTTCAAAACTTACTCGTTTCTAATGTTTTTGGTGAGAAAAAATCATTGAGTATTGTTTTTAAACAACGCAAATCCCAATTATCAGTTATTCTGCCTCCATAAGTGATTTCACCTGAAATTAATTTATATTAATTATAGTTTTTAATTTATGAAAAATAAAACGAAAATACCAGTTATGTATGTCAAGGCAGCCCATGGAATTGTTTCGTTACAAAACATTTTTAAATTTAAAAGGCAACATTCTCTGTCATTATTATTAAATTCATAATGAATATTCCATCCTAGTGGACCGAATTTTTTTCTCTCCTGAATAATTGCATGGAAAAAGCAAATTCCAAATATCATTTTTCTCCAATTTAGTTCTAAAGCTGTAAAAATTAATTTTTAATTTTATAATAAACTGGAATTATTTTAAATTATCTTATTTTTTTATACTTACGATTATTTTCAAAGAAATCTTCATTAAGATCAAAGAAAGCACGTTTAATATTTGCTTTGAGTCCTTTGGGCGGTTCATTTGTGACTTTCATTGAATTTTGAAGAACCGAAACTGGAAATGATTTACTTGGCATTGAACTTAAAAATAGACGAAAATTATCGTTAACACCATCGGATTCTTGAATTATTTCGATAATTAATTTTTCCATATTATTCATCCATGATGTGGCTAAATGACAATTTTGTAAAAACACCCAATTTCCTGTTTCTTTTCCTTTTTGCAAAAGATTTTCTGCTATTGGTCCTTGACCCTGACCCAATGATATTGATTGATATTTTTCGCCAAATCCCATTTTCGATGCAAATCTCTGAAATGCACTAAACGGATCGGAGCCAGTGCTTAAAATAAATACCAACGGTATTATTTTCGAAGTATCGGGATAACTGAAAATTAAAATAATTATATTAAATTTTTAATAAATATAAATTATTTTTTGTTTTGTTATTTTTTTTCTATTTGTAGAATTAAATTATGAAAATTTACAGTAATTCCAGAGAAACCATTGGTGATTCAACGAATTTCTGTCCAAGATTTTTTTTCACATATGCAGTGAGAGCAAAAATTAATTTCTCTTCTTTTAACGCTTTTAGTAGCATCAGTTTTTCTATATCAGTCAGTATTTTATCCCAGTTGAATTCGGCTTTTTTATTGTTATCAGGAATGATATTTATTTCCTAAATAACAAATTTGGTATAATTAATTGATATTTTTGTATTTTATTAATTAAATAAATTTTTACCTCTTGAAAATATTCAATGGACAAATGAATCTTTTTGAAAACGTCAGTCATAATATTTGCGAATGATTTAAAATGATTTGCTAGAAAATTCACCGAGATCCACATTGTTTCAGTCAAAGTTGGATAATCCGGTTTCTTAGACTTAAAAAACACAATTTTTTAATATTAGACAAATAAAAAAATATATTAATTTCAGATTTATAAAAATAATTAATAATATCAGATAATTACTGTCTTAAATTGTCCAGCACCACGTAGCAAAAATTCCCATTCCGAATAGCTGACAATTCGAGAATGTAAAAAAATCGCCATATTTAACATGAGACTAAAAACAAGTTTATGTCGTTCAAATAATCCTCGCGATACATTTGTATAAATTGATGAAGTAATTTCTTCATATAAAATTGTCAATCGAATATCAAGATTTTCGCTTTTTTCACTCATCTCGATGACATTATTGAATATCTAAAAAAATTTCAATTTCAAAATTATATTAAATTAATATAAATAAATTAGAATAATTACAATTAATTTTCGATTTTTGAGGACAAAAATTTTTAACACTCACCTGATTAAAATATTTTAGAGAAAATTGATACATGGGATCGATTTCAGCTAAATCAGCAACAACAAAATATAAAACAGAACCACGAGTAGCTACGGAACGATATTTATCTCGAGTGATGGAAATCTTTTCTTCTGTAGCTTCAGTTTCAATTAATCTCGTGACAATAATCGCCGAAGTCTCTTTACTATTATTTAGAGTCTCAATTAATTCTTCATTATCGAGAATATTATCACCGGAACTAAATAGAAGTGAAAGAATTTTATCCTCTATATTTTGAAGTTGATTTTTGTCCGCATTGATCTTTGCTATCAATTCGTTTCTCAATTTTTCCAATTCTGGTTTTTCCAAACGTACCACATCACTGTAATAATTAATTATTTTATAAATTAATTAATTTTAATAACAACATTTTTGTCTTACGCAAGAAGTTGTTCTTCTAATCCCGAAGGTGTTACAGTAAAATTGACAATTGTCACTTTAATACAAATTTCTGGTAAGTAATGAGGATTAGCCATTTTTGAGGTGATGTATAAACGAAAATTTTCATCGTACTCGATGTCACTTTCTCCTAGACGTATCAATTTTCTTCCTCCCTGTAAATTGATTGATTTAATTTAATAATGATTTAAATATTTTTTTTAAGTTAAATATTAAAATAAAATCATCCTACTTGAACAAAAGTTTGTTTTAAAAGAACTGGCTCCAAACTGGGATCCAAAATTTCACCGACATCTTCAATTAAAATTGGCGAACCAATTCTAATGCACGATTCCATGATTCTCATTAAATTTCCATCCGTTAGTTTACAAATTTTTAACTGATTCTGCTGTTCCATATTTCTTATCCAGCGATTAGCCTACATTAATAATTCTAATAAAATATTTTTATAATTAAATATAAATTTTTTTCAACGAAAATATATTTCACCTGTTCTTGTGGATCAATCATAAGTGACCATTTTTCAGCTTGAGTGACAAAAATTGCATTTTCCGTACTGATCTGATCTCGAGGTAAACCAAAACTATTCCATAAACGAATTTCATAAGGATCAGCTAAAACAGCAATTAAATTAAAATTTCCCGTTGTTGTTATTTTCTGTTCTTCACAAGTTTTCAGCCATTTTATTAATAATTCTTTTCTGTATTCACTGGTGAATGCACCTAAATAAGCTAAAGCACCAGCAGCCACTAAAGTGTCTCCCATAAAATTTTCCATCTGCCTATCGAAATCCTATTACATTTTTTTTATTAATAATATTGATTTTATTAAAAATTTTCTTTTTTTAATTTTTATTTACTTTCATATTTTCCTGCCAGCGAATTTCTTCATCTGCCAATGCCGATGTTAATCTTCCCGATCTATTGAGTCGAGCCTCACTCAATTGAATATTATATTCCAAAGATGTTAAATTATCAACAGCTTCCTTATATTCTTGTCTTAATTTATTTATTTTATTCTCAACTTCACGTAATTGTTCTTGTTTTTGTTCCAAAACATCCATAATAGAGCGTAATTCTTTTTCCGCCGCTTGTAATCTAAAAATTCAATAATATTCGATAATAATAGTAAAAATAAATGTGAAATATTAGAATAAATTCTCACTTGAGACGTTTTGGATGTACAATTCTAAATAATTTCGCATAACCATCAATAGCTCGAACCCAAATGCAAATTGATTTACAAACTTTGCTTTGTTTTGCAACAATATTTGGCTTAAAATTTGGATTATTTATATAGTCTTGCAATTTTTTTAAAAGTTTATCATTAATATCATCTTTTGGATATTCAATTAATCGATCTAAAAAGTGTAAATCACCGAGAACGACTCTCGCAGTTATCCAATCAAGTCTGCAAAGAATTTTTTAAATTAAAATATAAAGCACCATTAATTAATTTATTTATTTATTTGCTTACTTTTCTCCTAATAACAAATTAACGGCTTCCATCACGTATCGAACAAGCGGTGGTGGACTATTGAAAACTTTAATTTCATTGATATCATTTTTATTCAATGATTCCAGGGCTTTTTGTGCTTCCTCCAATGCTGGCATCGCTGCTTCTAAATCTTTCCTAGCTTCAGTTTCTAAAGCAGCTGTTTCTTCTGCTTTTACCTATTGAAGAATAAAATTATTTTTTATTATTATTTAATTATTAAATTCATTTACTTATAGATTTTAAACAAATTTAATTAATTAAACTACCTTGACAATTGCTTCATCAGCAGCAACAGTGATTCTAACTTTGTCGAGTTCAATCTGTTGCTTCGCAAGTATCTGCATTAATTTCGAAACTTCCTCTGAACTTGTCTTTAATTGAGGAGCCAGAATTATCAATTGCTCCTTCATCATCGCAACTGTCTCGTTTGTTTCTTTCAATTTCTAAAATGAAAATTCCTTATCAAAATTTACTTCACTTCTGATGAAAATAATATTTGAATTTAACTCACATTCAAGCCATTCGCAATTTTACTTTTCAGCGTTAAAGTTGTTTTAATTTTTTTCTTCAATGTCGCTAAGAAAAGTTTTAATAATGCTAAATAACTACTGGGTGTCGTGTAATATCTTCTTCGCATCTCATTGAAAAATCGAACAGTCATCTCTTCAACACTCTGTGTAATTAAGCAAAAAAATAATTACAAAACTGAAAATTTTTTTTAAATAAAAAAATCGTATTTAATATTAATGATGAAAATATTGAAATATTTTACTTCATGCATTAAAACACAAATTGATGATAAAGCAGATAATTTATTTTCATCGTGATTTGCAATTGATTCGATTGTTTTCTTTGCTACTGAGAGAAGTGCTTCATTTGGCCATTTTGTGAACCAATCTATTGTACAGCAATTAACCAATGATGGAAACATTCGGCAACGATGTCTTTTTTAAAAAATTAATAAATCTGTTATTTAATTTTCTCTAAAAAAAATTAAATTTCCATTTTTTTAAAGGACAATTTCCTTTTTCTCTCTAGAATGATCTTTTAATTAATTAACTAAATAGATTACAACCTGAAAGTGTTGCCCACAGGACTCATGCAGAGCATTAAATGAAGATGATTTCTAACTCTTCCGATAAAATAATTGTAAATTCCATCTCGGTCAGATTCTTTGATTCCAGCATCTTTGGCAGCCAGTCTTGTGGCAATTATTGCCTTTTCTAATTCGTCAGCTTCAAATAAATTTGGTACCTCTCCTGTAAGTTATTTTTTATGTTTCACTTTTTTATTTCCTTTTTATTTTCTTTAATTTATTTTAAAAAATTTTCTAATAAAAAAAGCAAAACGAAAATTAAATTATCTCACCGGAATTTAAAGTATTGTTTATATCCTCCAAAAATTCCTCGAGTACAATTTGTGTATCAGTAAAAAGAAAAGTGACATCTTCGGCAAATGCTCCTGGTTTAAAATAAAATCGTCGAAGATCATCGTGCCAGGAATTCATGTCGTAGCCACGCGTCACTTCAATTTGCATACAACTGTTTGAGAAAAGTAAATTAATTTCAATTTTATCATTATCATTTTGAAAACCTACCGATAGCCGTTCAAATGGGACGCTAATTTTGTTAAACTTTGTTTTCCCATTCCACCAACACCAACAAGAAGACCATTTCCTCTTTCTGATCTCAAAATTCTCGCCAGTCTACATAAATGTTCAACAGCATCCGTGAAAAATATAAGATTCATCTCCTTCGAAGTCACTAAACAGTAATCGTCCAAATAATTCTGAAAATATTTTTACTTTCATTTTTTCACCTATTTTTTTTAAAAAATAAATTTCAATTTCGATAATAAAGAAAACATACTTGCAAAATATTTGTTGCTTTTGTTAAATCGGTGATTTCTTCATAAAATCTCTGCTCTTTTGAAGCTCCAAAGGACATAAAGTCACCGAAAAGAAGTAATGGAGGCTGTGTGACAACTTCATCTCCAAGTGAAATCACCTCGTCTCCAAATTTTCGCGAACAGGTTTCGGTCAAAAGATGATAAAAGTAACTTTTGTCTTCTATATTTATTAATCGATCGTGAAAAACCCTCAAGCACTCGTGATAAAAGAGCCTAGAAATTTTTGAAATTATTTATTAAAATATAATTAAAAATACAAAACAACAAACAAACCTTAACATTTGTTTCACATCAATAACAATTGATGGATCTGCTTGAAGCATTCCTTGAATACATTTTGATAAATCTCGCAAATTAAAAATATAATGACTCTTTTCAGGCGTTGGAAGCAAGTCAATTGCAATTCTATTGTAAATTTCAATAGTTGCCGATACAATTTTATCACCGATTTCAATTATTGGTTGCAAAAATTCTTGAAGAAATCCTTTCATTATTGACCTGGAGATTCAGACACTTATTTGATAATAATAAGTTAATTAATTAGTAATATATTTTTTTTTTTTTACCTAAAAATGTCTTTCAGAGAAACTTCGGAAGGCGTTGGAATAACCAACATTCCAAAATGACGAATAAATCTTGGAGTGAGAGGATTTCTTCCACCTCCAGGAGGAGCACAGGCGCAACTTAACACAACATCTTCCATTGTTTTCCAAAACAATTTATCTCGATCGTAAATGCCTCCAAAATCGAGAAATTGTCTAAAATTAATTTATTTGGAGTTTAATATTGCGATATTAAAAATATTTTTAAAAATCAAAAAAAATACCTCAATAATTCTATTGGTGGTTGTGAGCCATAAGTATCCAATTTTGGCATATTTACATCATCGATGAAAATGCAAATTCGTTTTCCGATAGGCGCTCCCAATACTGTTCGTTTCTTTTTCTCTAATTTTAATTCTAAAATCTCTTGAATTCTCCCGCTACTTGTTTGAGCGGAAAAATTCATTACAACCGGAACCCAAAATCCAGATTGTTGAAGTGTTTTTAAAACTACTTTGGCTATTACTGATTTTCCAACACCTGAAAATTAGAAAAAAATTTATTTCAATATTTTTAAATTAAATATCTAAAAATCGTACTTTATGTAAAAAATAAATAAATGTGAAATTTAAATGAATTTGAAAAAACATAACTAACCAGTGCCGCCTGTAAAAAGTACTGGTTTATTAACATTCAAAAGTTTCTCCATAAGATAACCAAATCGTACTGTGTCGACAGTTGGAACGAGAATTTCAAAAAATGGCACCGTTTTGTCATATGTAAACGATGGCATTAATTTTATCCATAATTCTAAATTTCGATTTTTTGTATTTATGTAAAGATCCCACAAATTTTCAGAGGGTAAACTATTAATTAATGAAAAATTAATGAAAAATAATACTAATGATCAATTTAAAAAAGGAAATTTTAAATAGAAATTATAAAAGTAAATTTGATTGATAATTATTAGTAGATTTAATAATAATACCGAGAATATGAATTGTCCTTGAATTGTTTTTTCACAAATAACTCGAAAGTTTCTCTGGCAGAATCAATTAAATTTCCACCAATTGCCCAAATATACGAGATAATAAATGACTGGGTGAGAAAACTTTTCAAATTTTCCACGTCAGTAAATTTATCGATTGCATTTGGCTCTAGAATAATGCTTTCCATTAAAGCACAAAGCATATTTACTTTTCCGATACCCACCTAAATTAAAAAAAATTCTTCATAAAATGCAATATCAGATATTAATTTTATAATTTCTTATAAGAAATAATTTAACACCTTTAATACGAACCTGTGGTATAGTTTGTTGACAATTCTTTTTCAAAAATGCCAATCCTTCTTCTACGTAAGTCTCCAAAAGATACATTATCTCTTGACGCAACGATTCATTAATTATAGTCTCAGGAATTTTTTGCAACCAACTTTTTGCATATGGCATCCATTTAAGATCAGCAGGATCAAAATACACCATTCCTATTATGAAGAGTGAATTTTTATAAACTATTTTCTTTTTTAAATCCCAATATAAAAAATTAATTTTACCACATCTACTGACAGTTGCCGGTGAAGCTTGAGAAAGATCCATAACTTCAAAAAGCATATGAACATATGGAGTAAATTTAATTCTCTCTGAATTCGCGAGACACAACATTTTATTATCATCTAAAACAGTATTCATATTTTCTATCCAAATAGCGTCGACGGGACCATCGCAAACAACCCACTGATGTTCTTCTGTTGTGAACTGAAAACATTTTTTATTTTAGCAAAATATTTAATAACTACTAATTAATTAAATAAATACAAAAAAAAAAATTTGAAATGAAATGAATCTTACAGAACAAGCGTGGCGAATAATTGCTCCAATTAAACCGTCGTGCCATTCATTGCTCATGGTATCCACTGATCCGTATAATTCCCCAATTGTCACAGCTTTTGGATTTAAAACGTACGTGTGAACTTTTTGATAATATGATTTTGGTACATTCATTTCATGAAGTTGTGTGTATGTATCCCTTAATGTCTGTGAAAAAAAAGTCAGTAGAAAATTTAAAAAATTTAATTTAGTACAGGAAAAAAAGTTATATATATTTTTTTGGTAAAAAACGATATTAAATAAGAAATTACCTGAAGAACAGTTGTTTTACCAGATCCAGTGGGACCAACTAACATGACACCATGTCTGACTAACATTGTTTCATGTAATTGAATAGTTTTAACAATAGAACACGATTCCGGCTGTAAACCTGCATCTATCATCATCTGTAAATAATAAAAATTATATCAGAAATTTTGTTTAATTTATAAAATTTCTTTATGTTTAAAATGTAATTTAATTGATTTTATTATTTAATTTTTAATGTGAAAATTTACCTTCTCAGCAGTTTCTTGAAAAACGCCGTAGTCTTCATCGGGAAGCACAATATCTGAAACAGAAAATCAAAAAATTAATTAAGACGATTCAATTTAAAAAACTAATTAATTTACTTCTATAAAATATTTTTCGAACCTGGAAACAAATCGCCTAGTATTCCCAAAAATAATTCTGTATCATCAGCCAAAAATTTGGGTAGATTACTGTCCCTTAAAGCCCTCAGCAAGACGACGTCTTCCAATTTTTCAGGATTTTCTCGCTTTAAACTTCCTGCCATTACCAAAACACTCTTTACTGCCCTGTAAATTAAAAAAAAAATCAATTAAAAGAAAATTTTTAAAGGATCAAATTTAATAATATAAAATAGTAAAGTTCACCTCATTCCAAAATCATAATGATCTTGCTGAGATAGTTGTTCGCTGCACAATGTGTACATTAATGTCATTTTTGTCGATAATGACTTGGAGGATTCAAAACCCTCCGAATATAATGTTACTTCTGCGATGAGTTCTAAAAAAATAATTAAAATATTTATTAGTTAATTAAATTGTTTCTATATTGTTTTTTATTTTCTTACTGTAATCTGGAACCATCATCGCAAATGGTCTGAAAAGTGATTTTAAATTATCTGGTAATTCAGTGCGTCCAGCATAACCAGGATTCATGGTGACAAAAGTTGCACAAGACATCACTAATTTTATCACGCGACCCTCAAACATAAATCTGTAGGAAAAACAAAAAATTAATAAAATCAATTTCAATAAATTAATAAAATTAATTTCAATACTATTTTAAATAAAATTTTTTCTTACTCATTAGCGCGGATAATTTTAGCATTTCTAATAGTAATTAATTGTTGAGCAATTACAGAAAGCACCTCAATGTCAATTCGATTAAATTCATCGAAACAACACCAAGCACCAGAAGTGGCCAAACCAGAAAAAAATCTTCCCATCATCTTTTAGAAATAGATTTTCAATTAATTAAAGTATAATAATAAAATTATATATAATTAAATTATAATTATTAATAAATTACTACTTACCCTGTAATCTAAACCTTCCGAACAATTAAATACAACACATTGAACAGCTAATGCTTTAGCAAGATCTTTCGTCGTCTCAGTTTTTCCAGTTCCAGCTGGACCTGCAGGTGCTCCACCTAATTTTTAATTAAATTAATTTTTTAATCTTCTAAAAATTCTTTTCGATGGCAAATATTATTTAATATATTTTATACCTAAATCCAATTGAAGTGCTCCCATAAGACATAAATAGCATCTATCTGTTAAAGGTGTGATAACTAATCTTCTTTGAGCACCAAGATATTCATAGCCATAACGATATTCTGCATTACTCATTTTTGCCAAACAACTGTCGATTTCTTCGTCCCAATAGTAACGTAAATTTTTCATCCAATCAAAACTTGAACTAAAATAAAAACAAAAAGCTTTCCAATTAAATTTTTTTAAATTTCAAAAATTCGGAAAAGAAAATTAACAGATTTAAAATCAAATATCATTAATTTAAATTTTTTACCTGGATTGAATTTTATTTTCCACTAAAACTGAAATAATATCTCTCGCGTGTACATCGACCGTTATAAGATTGATAATAACTTCGCGTATTAATTTCGGTAATTCTCCTCTTACTAGGCCTGCCAATTCATTTAAATCCTATAGTTAGAACAGAAAAAAGAAATTAATTACGAATACAGAAAAGAAAAGGATAATAATTGAAAATAAAAATCTTACTGTAAAACATTTGATTTCAAAAGTTTTCATAGCATTCGCGTCTCCTGATTCCAAAATAACATGAACGTCTTGAGCCCAAAATATTTGAGAAACCGTTAAGACATTCTATTTAATGAATAAAAAATTTTTTTTTGCAATTTTTCTTAAATACCAAAAAGGAAAAATTAGATTTAATTTTTCCGAAAATTTTTAAAACAATTATAAGTAATTTTCAAAAAAAAAAAAAAAAAATACCTGAGACGGAAAAGATTCGATAAACTTTCGTCTTCCTTTCTCTTTAAGATCAATGATGCCTTTTTTCATTTCCCTCTTGAGTGCTGCAAACATTGCTTGCTCCACATTTCCAAGCCAATCTTCCACATTTCCTCTGGCTTTTAACCCTTTCTGTAAAACAACTCTCTCTCCCTCCGGTGATAACATGGCTATAATATCCGTCGTAAGAACAGCATCTTTTTTATTCTCTTTATTTCCCAGATTTGCAATTGCAAACTCAAGACGATAAATTGCATCGAAACACTTTTGTAAATGCCTCTGAACTGCATGAGGATTTCTCGTCTATGAAAAATTAAATTAATTATTTACCAATAACAATTAGGGAAATAAAAATTATAATTAATCACAAAACCTTAGTTTTCCGTTTCAGGCTGCATTAATAAAAGATAATTTGGAATATTTATCATCAAATTATTTTAAAAATATATTTTTTCAAATAAAGAAAATCTATTATCGTATACATACTTGGGCTAAAATTTCCAAAAGCTCGTCATTAGAGAGAAAGAAAAATCTCGGAAATGCGATACGCTTTGTTTCGAGATAAGCCTCCAGGCATTTGAGAATTTGATCTAAATTGTTATTATTTTCCATGAAACGTTCCAGTAATCCTGGCTGAATGCAAATTTCCATAACCAAAGGCACCTAAAAGAAATTATTTAATTTACAAGATTAATTTTTAACGCATTTTAACTTTTTTAATTTTTAAATTTTAATTCAATGTAATAAAAATAGAAGGATAATTTTTCAATTTACCTTTGTTGTTTTTCTCATAATTTCCTTCCAAGATCTATCGACTACCGCAAAGAGTTTCGCTTCTATTGGAAGTTGTCGTTTAATATCAGGAGCAGAGAAAATTGCCTCCAAGTACATCCACTGCTGTTGACAATACTGCCAAGCTTCCTGAAAAATATAAATACAATTCATAGTAGCAAAAATTTAAAATTAAAAACTTTTTTTAATTTAGAAAATATAAAATTTATACCAAAGTACGAGACACAAGATCCAGTTGTTTAATCCAATCATCAACTTTCGATTTAATTGAAGCAACATGTCGAGAAGCGGCAATTGTTTGAATATTAATATTACTATCATCGAGAGCCAATTGAATTTCCTCGATTGATCCAAGATAATAAACATCCTTAATTTCCTTATAAGGTAAAACAATAAATTCCAATGTTTTCCATGTGTCTACAACTTTTTTCAACATTATTTCTAAAGCTGCCTCTGAACTTGCACAAGAAGCAATTTCCATTAATTCATTTGGATAATCAAAAATTCCAAGACTCTCGAGAAGTTCCAATGTTAATGATTCTTCCAATTGAAATTTATAATTCAAAAGTTCCTCAATTTTCATCCAATGACGTGATTGTAAATTTGGATTTCTCAAATGTCCAATAGTTGAGAGTTTGTCTTTGAAATATTCCACTTTTTCTTTAAAATTTGGCAAAACATTATTTGACGGTAGACCTTTTTCAAATTGAACAATATTTTTTAAATTTCGCGTTGTAAAATTTGTTATTTCTTCAACGTTTAAAATGTTAAAATTATCTTGATACCATTTTTCTAAAGTTTTTGACCAACTTATTACACTTTCCCAAAGAAGACTTCGTAGTTTTACTTCATTTATTGCGTGATCGAGAATTTCGAATTTTGTCATTTCCACCTGAATTTAACGAGTTAGAATAAAATAAATTGAAATAAAATTGAATTTAGAAAAATAATTTTTACCTTAAATCCTTTTTGATGATTTCGATATTCAGAAGCTAATTCTGCACATTCTTGTAAACGTTGAGAGAGATCGTTGAGAGTCTCGAGACAACCTTCCACATTGCTATCAGCATCCAACAACCAGGATTGCTGTAATTAATTTTTTTTTTGATTAGTCAGAATAATTAATAATTAATTATTGTTTTTATAATAACTTACAGTCGCTTCGTCATTAATGTCCGAAATTTTATTAATAACAGCATCTATATCTTTTTGTATTTGAACATTAAACTTGGTTATCAACTTTTCTCGATCCTTCAATTTTTTATTAACGGCTGAACATAATGTTGTAAATTGTACACTTATTCCCTGAAAAAAAGTGATTAATTTTTTTATTTTTGAATTATCAATTTTTATAATTAAACAAAGAAAAAATATATTTTACCAAATAATTCGCAGCATCCATTGCAGGAACGGGAAATTGATATTCTTCCATTATATCGTAAATTTCTTTAACGTACACTAATTCCACTTCCATTCTCTCCACATTCTGTTGTGCTTGATCGACAAAATTTATGTAAGCCACATAATCATCAGTTGTCACTGGATTTGTATCCAAATAATTTATAGCATCATTAACTTCATTCAAAAGAGCGTCTACTCTTGCTTTACCTAAACTGATAATTAAAAAAAGTTCTTCAATTTGTAGTTAATAAAAAAATAAAACAATTTTTATTCTCACCATGGTATGACTTTTTCAAGAACAATCCATTTTTGTGTAGGAGCAGGTAATGCTAAAATTTTCAATCTTGTCAATTTAATATAAAATATTCCTAAAAATTCTTCCTCTTCTATTGCAGAAATTTCAACAATTTCATTTTGATATCTTTCACAAAATTCACGAAAAATCGAACACTCTTCATTTTCTCTTATAATCATTTCATTAGCATTTATATCTTCCTTGAAGAATGTCTCAATAGAATTAAATTTACTTGAAAATTCTTTTACAGCAAGAAAATGTTCTTTTAAAATATTTTCAAATTTTCCCTTCAAATCATTCATAAGAAAATCATCATTTATAATTGTCAAAATTTCTGGTGGCTTTCCTGATATTCGATTTTCAATTTTGTGATTGATCATTGGCCTAAAATATAATTCATTGACATTTTAATCATCCGATTAGAAAAATTGACTACTAGAAATTAAAAATAAAAGAAAAATTGAAATTATAAGACCTTGTAAAAATATCGAAAAATGGATCAGATAAAAATGGCTTTATCTCAAATAAATTTTCCTCCCACATTAATTGGATTGTTTTAATGACGTGCCAGAAAATTTCTTCAGATGGATCCAAAGCGATTCCAGTTTCCAAAGAAATTATCAAGTCCACTACAAAGTAGGGATACTGAAAAATAATTTTCTATTATTAAAAAATAATTAATTATTTCATTCCTTTTCTAATTATCTATTTAAAAAATTAAATTTCAATTCATTTAATATTGTAATAATAATAATTTTCATACGCGATGTTTCTCTTTTAAATTTGATTTCGAGTCCATCTCTTCTTCATCATTTGATAAAGAATAATTTACACTTTCTTGTAGAGTGTTCAGCAAAACTTTGTACGTATTGTATAATAAATTTTGCATCATGTCCGTTTGTAAATAATCAATCAGATGGATAAAACTAAATTATAAAAAAATTTTTTAATATTAAGAAATTTTTTTTAATCTTGAGTTTTTTTCTTTTTTTATTACCATGATAGACGATAACATTTTTCTCTTTTTTTTGCCTGTTCAATGTGACTCATTTTTAAAATTCCATCTTTTGGCATTTTAAATTTTGTTCCCGCGAAACGTCCTGATGAAAAATATTCATTTTTTAAATTCCTCATTAATTAATTACCATTAACAAATTTTTTTTTGTTACGTACCTAATTGTCCAAATTCAGTTTGTTCAATAGTTATATTTGAATCATCGGGCGTGTATCCAGCTTCCAAAAGGGTTTTTAAACAAGCATCTTTCACTAATTTTGCAATTAATTCTCTGAATTTATCTAATTTGCTCCTAACATCCTCGAGTTTAGCAAACTGCAAAAAAAATGTAATTTTTAATTTAATTACATTTAGAAAAAATAATTTCCAGTATTTTTTTTTAGAATAAAAATATAATTTCAATAATAATGTTTAATTTACTTGAATTTCCATAAAGAGAAAAAGGGGTAATTTTTCGAAAATACTTGTATCAACAAGAGACACGTGTAAAAATTCTTTACACTTGGTATTAATTTCAAGAAGAGTTTTACTTAATATTGAATGTGTCACAAAAAGATTTTCCAATAAATAATCCCTCGCTTTATTATATTTTCTCCATGATATTGACTTTCTCCAAACGTAAAAAGCTTTCCACGTGCGAAAAATCGTGAAAGTTTTGATCTAAAATATAAATAAAAATTTTAATTTAATTTCATAAACAAATATAAAAAAAAAATGTAAATTTATAATAAAATAAAAATTTACTTTTGCGATTTTTAAATAATCTTTATATTCTCTCTCCCATAATTCAATTGGTGTGAAAATCATTTCGTCTGGACTATATTTTGTAACTCCATTTGCACTAATTGTCATATATGATTTGCCAATTTCTTCATAAGGTACTACCCTGATATAAAATTGTAAATTTAATTAAATCGATTGTATTAAATACCAAAATAAAAATTAAAAATTCATTTTTAGAAAAAAATAAAACTTACTTGAAGGCATAGGGTGTGAAAAATTTAGAAGATCTCTCGACGGCGTAAATCATGTAATAAAAATCAATTGAAGAATCTGTTTGTAATTTTTGAATTAATTCCAATTGATCAGAAATTTTTGGCGGATGGCACTTTTGATTTCGAACAATTTCCTGATCATCGAGTACTTTTCCTTTTGGTTTAACTTGAACTGAAAATATTTTGAAACAATTTTTTTCTAATTTATCTGTAAAATAAGTTTTTATTCAAAAACTGTGGAATTTATTCTACTCACTGCTTACAGTTTTTGACCAAGAAAGTATGTTTGAGGGCGAATAATCTTCATCTTTTTTTTCTTGTTCTTCCCGAGGAACTAAAGGACTCATTGCTTCTTTTTCAATAGAAAATTCATTCTAGTAATTATAATAAAAAAAATTGTTTTGAAAAATTAAAAAATTAATAAATATATTATAATACAAAATAATTTCTTACAAGAGATTCAGATTCCTTTTTTTCATCTAACATTTCGAGAAATTTCTTGTGTGGTTTGTGAAATGGGATTTCATCAATTTGTCTGATATAAAGTATTAATTATGCTGTATATAAATTTTATTATCTAATCTAATTATGTTTTTATTAATATTATGAATTATTTTACTTGGATCGATGAATTAAAGGATTCCGAAATATATGCGCAATAAGAGGGTCAAATTTTTCATTATTATTTGAATTTGAATCAGATTTGATATTTTTCTTTTTACGAACTTTCAGACTATCTTTATAGTCATCTTGATTCGTCAACCTTCTTTTAATTTGATTCTTTTTCATATTTTCGTTTTTGATTTACTGTAATTTTTATTTTCTTTTTTATTTGTTTTAATTTTAATTATCTCAATTTACGATTTTGTATTAATTTTCTATATTTTCAATTATTTATTTCTTGGATCTTTATTTACTTTCAGTATTTATTAAATATTTTTATTTACCGTGTATTAATGAATTTTCTTTAAAGTTACCGTTTCACTTTTAAATTATTATTATTTTAATATTAATTAATTTATAAATATATATATATTTCCGCACTTATTTCTAAAATTCACTGAAACGTTAAAATTAATAAAAATATAACTATTTTAAAAATAGAAACTTAGAAATAGAAAATCTTTTAACTTCTCATAGACCACACGTGGTGTATTTTCAATATTCGTTTCTTTGGTTATATTGATTAAACAAACGAAATAGAGAAATAGAAAAATTGAAAAAACAAGTGAGAAAATTTTATTTTAATTATCGGAAATTTACTTCTAATTTTTGTAAACTATGATTGAATATTTTTAACAAAAAAGTTAATAAATTCTTGAATTAAAATAGAGATTAGAATATTAGAAAAATTAATAAAAAAGTTAATTAAAAATTATTAAAATTAATGAAAAATTTTTAAATATTGAAAACGATTTTTTTTTAAAGTGATGTGAGGTAAAAGAAAACTCTTTGTTTTTTTAGCTACAAAAGGCACCCATTATAGTATATTTCATAAAGTAATAAAATACAACGGTAGTACAATACTGAAATAATAGTGTTATTCAAATATAATATTTACAATTTGACGACGAAGTTGCGATAGATTTTGAAATGTAGAAGGGGGGTAAGAAAGAGGGGGGGAGGGGGCTAATAAGATTAGCTACTTAAAATAACATTAATAAATATCTAAGAATTAGAGATAAAAATGACTATCTGTATAATTTGAAACGTACAATTTTTTTCTTTTATTTTTTTTGTTTTCTTCTTTCATGACTGCAAAATAATTCTATTATGCTGTCATTCATATATGTAAAAAGAAATCTCTTTCTCGAAAGTAATGAGCGCGACAAAAATTCGCCAGAAAATATAAAACATTTACAATTCGATTGCTCGCTTTAAAAAAAAAAAAATTACTTTCGAGAATGAGAAAATTCGCAGTCGGTTGCACCGATTTAAAATTTTTTATTTGCGTCAAAAATTTTAAATGAAAAATTGAGATTCATTAAAATGATGACATATAATTTTTTGAAATTAATTAAATTTCAATAATTTATCAATTTTCTATTATTGAAGCAAAACTTATAAAATTTTTTTAATCACTGAATTTAATTTAGATTTTAAAAAATAATGGAATTTAAAAATAGTTTATAAAGTCATTGGTACAGCAAATTTTTTTGTTTATACTTGTTGGGTGCATTAGACTGTGTTCGCTGCAACTTCTAATTCATATCTACGAGACTACAAGTTTTTTTTTTTTTTTAGGTACTTGAAATCAAAAGATTTGAAAATAAAATCTTCTTCGGTCATTATCCAGAAGATATCGTTCGCAATATCTTGGCAGACCGTGGCATTTAAAAAATGGCTATACGCAACCAACTTTCTTGGAAAGAGAGCGATAATATATTTTTTTTTTTCGTAAAAATCGTCCCATCGCTATTTTCCAAGTCTTTTTTTTTTTTAATTTCACTTTATATTGAAATTAAAAAAAAAAAAACGAACAAAAATATATAGATGATTGATCGTGATTCTCCAGGTTCTTGTTTTTTTTTTTTTTTCTTTAACAATAAGATTGGCTCAAAAAAAATATCGCAGAGAATCACGATCGTACGCAGCGAATATCGCTCCCAAAAATTCATCATCCGTATAAAAAATACATTTATGAAAAATAATGTGTGTGGAACTGCCTTAAGATGAGCTTAAAATTTCTTTTTTTAAAGCTCTTCTAAAACTTGTTACCACACAAGATCGCCTTATAAATTTATATGTAAATATAGAAAAATTTACCAACTAATTTTTTTTTTTGAAAAAATCGGTTTCTTACAGGCCAAGAGACAATAAGATTAAAATTGTAGATTACGATAAAAAAAAGGTTGTACAAATGACTTGACATAAAGAATATATGTATATAATATTACATATTCGATATACATATATATATATATTCTGGAAATTGTATATTTATATGTATAGCAGGTTATATTATTTGTTTATATATATATATAAACCTTTAATATTACATTATATTACAAGAATGGTATGTGCGTTGGATTGGCATTCTTGAGAATTTGTTTTTTGATGCCCCTTTAAAAAAAAGTTTTTAACTTTCTTTTCATTTAATTATCAGGCAGTGGAAAAAATGTTTGACTAGGGACATTTTGTAATTCATCACATTTATTCTCAAGAATGCCAATTTTTTTCCTTCTCAATAATAAATCGGTAACCGATGCTCAAGCATTCCATCAGTCATCCAAGTAAAAAAAAAAACGAATCCAAATCGTTTCGAGTATGAAAGTATTTTGCAGCGTGTTAATCGTACAGGAAAATACATTTTTTTCTACTTTTTTAAAAAAAAAAAAACTACTACTTTCAATACACGAAGAACAATATTTTCTCAAACAAATTGGAAAGTTTCTTCGGATTCTTTTTATTTAAGTATAAATGACTATCTTAAATGACCTTGTTTCCCTTTTTTTTTTTTTTAAACATTACTTTCAAATAGTACCTGATAATAAGAAACGTGGCCTTCGTCTAAATTCGCTTGTTCTCAAAGATTAATGGACATGTCTTGATCGTAAGGAGTTAGATTAGCATCAGGCGATGAAGGTGAGGTAACTGGCGTCGAGGTTGAACTGATGGGCGATTGAAGAGGTGTTGAACTTGATGGCATTTGTGACGTTGGACTTTCAAGTGTCGAATTCCAGTGACTTCTGTCCGTTCCATCGCCACCGTCGTCCGAGACAATTGAGATGTCCGCAATTATACCACTTTCTACAAAAAAAATTTTGTTTAAGAAAATATTCTAAATTAGCTAATTCTAAATTAATTCTGTTTTATTTTTTTTTAACTTACCGACACTACATTGACTATTAAGAGTAGTGCTTCGGTGATGAGGTCTGGGACTCGCGTCGAGACCCAAATTAAGAGTATTTGGTGGACCACTACTTCCTCCGCTGCTAGAAGACGAACTGACGGATATAACACTGTGAGGTCTTCTACTGTATCGACCAGAGTCATCCGACAATGATATAGCAATCGAATTCCTGAACCTTGGAGCTGAATTAGAAAAAAAAATTTACATTAACAGAATTTTATATTATAAAAATTAAAATTATATAAATGTAAAAAATTTTACTTTTTGACAATTGAGCGACGCTGATCGATCGATCATTAATTTGATCCGCACTAGGTCGAATATCCAGACAGGGTTTATTTCCTATTCCCATACTAGACATTTCCGCCAGGCGCACTTCTGTAATTCGATAATTTTTCCAATCACAAATTGTACAATTATTTCTGATTTGTTGAAAAATTGAAATTTCTAAAAAAAAATTTACCTCTGTTTCGAAGCGCCTGCTTCCAGAGAAGTTTGCTAAGCTCCTCGGTCCAAGCTTTCTTGATATCTTCGCTGGCACACTGTAACGTATACGTATCACCGGGTTTTCTCTTTCTGAACCAAATTTCAAATTTAGTCGGTGAATCAGCAATAACAGCTGTTAATCCAATGTCCGTCGTTTTGATACTGTGCTTATAGATATAAATATCGAGATTCTAAAAAAGAAAAATCAATCAATTTCTATTACAATTCGATCATTTTTTTTTTCATTTACTTACCTTTCGATCGGGAAATCGTCTTGCTTTGCTGAACAAAATTAAATCCTCAAAGAGAAATACTTGTCGCAAACATTTTTTACCCTTGCCCTGCCAAACTAGGAACTCATTTTGTCTCAGCAATCTTCCCTGCTCCTTTACGTTAACCTGGAAAAATTATTTACATATTTTTTGTTAATTATTAAAATATAAAATAAAGCGAAGAGTGTATTAATTTTTTTTTTGTTTAAAGTAACGTTTGCACAACTTACGTCACAATCACGAAGTGAATCCATTGCAAGAAGATCGTTTCCATGTCGAAGTTGAAATCGTACCATTTGTTCGGCTGCTCTTAAATCGGCTTCACCTTCAACTATTGGTTTTGCCTCATCACTGTCGTCTTTCTCGTCCTTATCGCCGCTGATTATCTGATCCGAAACATCAGTACCGGCTTTCACCAATTGCTGAAGAAGTAATGCATATTTTCCCATTCTTTGAACTGGTTTCAAAAGATAACTAGCGAGATCCATTTTATCACCAAGTTCCATTTGTTTCGCTTTAAAAAAATTACTTCCATATTCCGCCATTAGAGAATCCGAATTCGGTTTATTTTTATTGTACAAGGCGTATAGATAAAATTTCTTTTCCTGCGAACAAATCAAATAGAAATTCGGTAAAAATTCAGTTATTTCGAAAAATAAAAATTCGTCTAAAAATAAAATAAATAAATAAATAATTAAAAAATAAATCGAATTCTTTAAAATGAAAATTCGAAAATTTATCAGATAATTATGCGCTCTATAATGTTAAATAATTTTTTATCTATATTTTTGAATTTAATTCCATCTAATTGTTACTTTTTTCTTGTTTTTATTTTCCTCAACGTTTACTCATTTTATATTTCTTTCAATTTTCATTTTTCCTAATCGCCATTTATCATAATCAGCAAGTTACATAAATTTTCCTTATTGACGTATCGTCTATTTTTAGACTGTTGATTAAGTTAAAACAAAAAAATTTTATATAACTTGCATTTTACAAAATTATTTTAGATAAAAAAAGGAAAAAAAATTTAGTTTTAGCAAAAAAAGTCAATTATTAGAAAAATCTAGTTTTGTTGTAACCTAGATCCAATTTTTCAAAATTCATAATTTAGTTTCAATTTAAAAATGTAATTATTTTAATTAATTTTCGATTTAAATTAAAAAAAAATTTGTATTTTAATACTCACATGTCGTAGGAAGCATTGACCAACCATCATTGGTGACTGTTCACATTGTTCTAATTCACGCAAAAAATGTTGACTGTGAAACTCGTAGATTTTCTCCACATTACCGAAAATGACATTTCTTTGGCCTCTCAACGATTGTGGAATGTCCTCACGCACCAACTCTGGTATATAATTCTAAAAGATCACACAACGTATGATTAATCATTGTTCTCAATCTCTATATGTTAATGGATTAAAAAAAAAAAAATAAAGAAACCAATAGAATTGACTTTTAAAGACAGACAATTACCTCTATTATGTATTCAAGGGACTTGACGTAGTCGCGTTCAGTCTGTATCATTTCCCTCATTATGAGCAGTATTGTTCTGTAAGAAGAAACATTTCATTAGTGTGCCATTATGTAACGGAATCTTACTCTTCATTTATTAATGAAACAAAATTTTTTTACTTTTTAGCTTTCATTCCTGGTGCGATGCTGGGAGCACGATGAAGATGTGAATTAACTGGTGGTTTCACCAATCTTCTTGGTGCTGGACTTCGAGGCGGTGTTCTCGGTGGTGAACAATCCAAAAGTTGTTCGGCACTCTCACGAAGTTCTGCAATATTATCGAGAACTGGTCGGCCACCACTTCCTGATCCAATACTCTCCATTGGTCCAGCGTATGATGCTCCACTGTCGCTGTCGTCCCATGATGTACCTTCAAAAATTTCAAAATTAATTAAATTGAAATAATAAAATTTAGTTTTAAATAAAAAATATTTTTTTTACGTTTATTTAAGGAATCGTCCCATGAGTTGGCCGAGTCCGTGGTGCCATAGGATCTTCTTCTCGCAGGACTTCCGGGCGCTGAACATGCTCTTGTGAATTCGAGTGCCTCGTTGCATTTGCTTTTTGCTAAACGACATTGCTCGAGGAGAATTTCGTTGCCGAGTTTTTCCGCTAATGCCATCATTTCGGTGAAATGTTCCGGTGGTGGTGGTGGTCTTGCCATAAGAAATTGTTGTGCCCTTCGTTCGCCGGCTAATTTTGCCTCTTGGGCCCATTCGTAAGCACGATCCTGAAGTAAACAGCATCTCGATGTATCCTCAAGATATTCACGTCTATCCTCTAAACGAGAGCCAAATCCACGTAAATGATGTTTCAACGATCTTGCAAGTTCACGAAGTCCACTTGCACTCGCTGCCTCAGCAAGATCACTTCCCTTATCCAAATGTCTCTGCAAAAGAAAAATATTTTTTCATTATTAAAAATTCAAATTTATTAATTATTAAATAAAAATTAATAAAATGGAAAATTGAATTTTTTTTTATTTTCTCAGTCGCGCAATGACCTCAATAATCTTTCGCAAGGAATATTTAAAAAAAATATAATTGATTATTGTACATCATTTCCACGCATCAGTTTCCTACGCAAGAAATTTTTGCAGCGTCTCATATATGTAAATGAGATCTTTCATAGCAACAGGATGCTACAGGAATATGTTTATTGTAATTTCTTTCACAATAAAATTTTTATTTTCCCTGAGAATAAAAATTATTACTTTTTTCGAATTGTGAATTTTTTTAAAAAAATTCTGTCAAATTATTTTTTGTGGAGAAAAAAAATCCTCACGTAAATTTTGGTGTGGTTGAAATGGCCAACAATATTTGTACAGCTTTCTCATTAATTTTTTTTTTCCCCACCCCATTATAAATAAAGAAACATGTTTTTTCCCCCTGTGTAATGTATTCTATAAATCGACATATGGGCGTAACTAATATTATGTGTCAGTATATTTGGTGGCGTGTGTCATAGAGATGATATACCTAATTTTTGGGGTGGTTGAAGATGATCTTGTGGGGTTTTCGAAAAAGGAACCACTTCTATTATAAAATATATATATGGTTCCCCATATTATCGAATCTATTTATGATCGTACATGTGTGAAAAATTTTTTTTTCCTCACATTTCATTTAAACTATATACAAGTACCGAATTTATTATAGTTCTCAACACTATTATTTTCCCCTAAATTTAATAGTAATTTAAAAAAATATCAATAAATAAATACAGTTATTTGGAAAAAATTTGAAAATATTCAAAATTAAAAAAATTTACTAAATTATTAAAATTAATTTTTTTCTATTAATTAACAATACTAATTAATTAATAATAATTAATTTTTATATTATAAAAATTATAATTTATATTATAAAAATTATATTATAATTGAAATTAGTGAAAAAAATAATTGGATGCTTTTATATTCTAAATGGAATATTTTGTCTTTATTAGGATTTTTGTTCGTTTTCTCTCTTTTTGAAATTTCTCACATATTTTTTTTTGTACAGCGTTTAAGGGTCTAATTAATATGCCCCGTGACAGGAAATATCTCGAAGGGTGGCCCTAATGAAGTTTGTGGGAATAAAAGGGCGATAATATTTAACTGAATGGGCTTTTTGATTGAAGTTTAAGTAACCTTCCGTGTTTAATAGGGATGATCCATCGTCAATTACAACTCCAAGGGAAAATGGATCCTTTTTCATTGACACGTGTTGCAGAGACGATATATATATGTTCTTTCTCTCATAAGTAATGCCTTTGGGAAATTTGAGATATTTTTTTAATTCATTTTATTTTTTTAATAATTTATTTTAAAAAATGGATTTTTAATCGTATAATCAAATTTTAATAAATAATTACCACTCTTTTTGTAAAAATACAAATTTATTTTTTTTTTTATTTTAATTTCAAATTTTTATAATTTTTATTCCTTCCTTTACCGATTAGACTATTAAAAAAATAAAAATAGAAAAATGGAGTAAAAAAAAAATAACAAAATTTTTTTTGGGGAAAATATTTGTTGAGAACAAAAATGGAATTCAAAAATGAAATTATCAACTATAAATGTAGTTGATACAAAAAATTTTTGCGGGCTTTGACACATGTACAAGATTCCATGAAAGTATCATAAATATTTCAGATTGTAAATTCACGGTTTGTACTCTGGAGATCATATATTTTCATTTCCTCTTCTTTGATCTTTTACAACTGTGAAACATGAATTCCAAGCGCACAAAACTACTTCTTAATATATTTTTTTTCCTCCAGTTAAGCAAAAAAAAAAAAAAATAATAATTAAAAGAATTTTAATTAAATTTCATATTTAATTTTCTGTATTTATATAATATTTTGATTCTAATATTAAAAATACAGTTTCAAGTCTATTAAGAGATTGAAAAAAATATTATTGAAATTATTGAAAAATACAAAGAAACAAAAGAAGGGTAAATTAGAAAAAATCGATGGTTAAAAAAAAGAATTTTTTTTTTTTTTTGTAAATTAAAGCTTTCTCCCACTTTTACAACAGGTTTTTAATCTAATAATAATCGTAGAAATTTCTTGAACTTGCGTACGATTATCGAGCGATGTACATGCCAAATCGTCCATCAAGCGTGAAATCTAGATTAATTAAGTTAATTTAATCAAAAAGCAATTAAATTCTTAACAAAATCCTGCAAAACGTGTACACGAGTTTAGAATATTTTCTTTTTTTTTTAAAAAAATGATTATTCGCATAAAAATCGAATTAATTAATAGTGCATTCTATTAATTTTTTTGTTATTAAAATTTATTAATAATAAATAATTACTATTTATTATTAATAAATTATATTTATTAAAAAAAAATGATTACTATTTATTGATAATAAAAAATTAATTTTTTGTTAATAATAAATAATGAACATTTATATATTACACTAAACTAAATCAAAAAATTATTTTATTCTTTAGAAACACGTTATTATGATTTAAAAATGCAGTCAGAGCTATTTTTGAATTTTTCTCCTTAAAATCCCTGCACAAGGATTATCCTGCATGAGATATTTGAAGTGAATGTATATATAATCTTGAAAAATGTGTCTAAAGCAGGTTTTGAATTCATATACTGTAGGTATATATATATATATATATATCAATGGTACTTTGTTCAATTCATGTAATAACATACTTCAACTTCAGAATTGTATTTCTAACCATTGATTAAGTATTCCACAAGTCTGTTAATTGCAAAATAAGACAAGAAAAATCAAGGAAATATATTACAAATATAAAATCATATTAGGAAAATGTAAATTCAGAATTTAATTTCAATTCTTAACTTGACTTTTTCCTACTAAATTTTAATTAATTTTTTTCATTTAATAAAAAAAAAATTCGTTAAAATTTTTACTAAATGAAATTTAAAGTAAATTTTCTGTATTTACTGAATAATTAACTAATTTTTTAAATTTAATTAATATAATTATTGTAATTTATTAATTAAAACACTAGATTCACTATAACGTAATATTGTAGTTTCATTATTATAAGTAAATTAAAATTTACTTTATAATAGAAAATTGCAATTTAGTTTGTATAAAGTTTATAATTGAAACAAAATTGTAAATTGACTCTATAAAATTATAATTTTGTATATATATATGTATTTTATGCTTGCACAAGTGATCGGTTAATAAACACGAATTCCTTTCAAAAAGGAGAGAGAGAGAGAGAGAGAGAGAGAGATAACTAAGATTATTATACTTTCTAATTATGGCGATATTGGATCATGGTAATTGGCAGTTTATTTGCAGTGTCGCTACCAAGTTGGAAAGTCGTTAAATGTGCGCTTATGCTCACACATATTATATATACATAAACTTGAAAATACGCGTCAAAATTTATCAGCGAGAAAATTATCGCCAAGATTGTTATATAGAAAATTATGAGAATTCAATTTAGATTTTCGAGAAATTTCTATAATAAAACAAAAAAACAAAAAAAAATCATTGAAGAAAATAATTTACAAAATTTTTTACAAATTAATTATTTCTATATTCTGTACAAAATTTATCAAAAATAATTTTTAGATTTTTTTAAAACAATCTGTATTTTTTAAATAATTTTTCAAACCAAATAATTTATAGAAATTACTAAAATAAATTTTTCTCAAAAATCTGTAGAATCTGTAAAATTTACCAAACAGTTTATAAATTTTGTTAAACGTAGAAATTATCAAAATAGTTTGCAGAATTTTTCATTACAATTTGTAAAATTTACTAAACAATTTGTAAAATTTGCTAAATGAATTTAAAAATATAGAATTTATGTAAAAAATTTTTTTTTAATTTTCCTTTAGAATCTGTAGAATTTATCAAACGGTTTGTGAAATTTGCTAAATAAATTTAAAATTGTAGAATTTACTAAAAAAAATTTTTTGTAGAATTTCCCTTTTAAATCTGTAGCATTTACCAAACATTTTGTAAATTTTTCTAAATGTAGAAATTATAAAAAAAATTTGTACAATTTCCCTTTACAATCTGTAAAATTTACTAAACAATTTGAAAAATTTGCTAAATAAATTTAAAAACGTAGAATTTATGTAAAAATTTTTTTTTAATTTTCCTTTAGAATCTGTAGAATTTATCAAACGGTTTGTGAAATTTGCTAAATAAATTTAAAATTGTAGAATTTACTAAAAAAAAAAAGATTGTAGAATTTCCCTTTTAAATCTGTAGCATTTACCAAACATTTTATAAATTTTTCTAAATGTAAAAATTATAAAAAAAATCTGTAGAATTTCCCTTTAGAATCTGTAAAATTTACCAAACAGTTTGTAAAATTTGCTAAACGTAGAATTTAAAAACATAGAATTTAACTAAATTTTTTGTTTTTTAAATTCCCTTTTAGAATCTGTAGAATTTATACCAAACAGTTTGTAAAAAATTTTGCTAAAGGATTTAAAAATTGTAAAATAAAAATGTGTTGTAAAAGCGAAAAATTTTAAAATTTTAGCGAAAAAAAAAATTATCAGACAAAATTTGGGGGGTTTGAAAAATTCGTCACACATTTTTGCGATGAAGAAAATGCGAAATGGCTATGGCGAATACTAAAATTCCCTAGAGGTGTAATTAATTATAATCGAGTTGAGCGGGGAATTTTCAGCTGATGTATAATGAATCATGCTTTGTTAAACTTGGCGCCCCTAGCCGGATGAATAAATTGACGCTTCCGTCACGCCTCCTTATGTACAACATAAATGTTTTTTTAAATTTTATTCTACTCTGATAATAAGATTTTTTTTTTCATCTCTAGTGCATTAACCACATTTAACTGCTTCTATTTTATTCCCATCATCATTATTTTCACAATCGTCAAGTTTTTTTCAAGTCACTTTCCTTTTATAGTGAAAATT